TGTGGTCGTTAGTCAAGAACTCCCTGTAATGTCTTCCCTCAATCTGTCTCCGTTTTTCATCAGCCTTCTCTCTTTGGGCTTGTAACCTGGCCGGGCTTAACGGCCTTGCTGCCTTTCTTGGTCCTCCCTGATTTCCATCATCCCCTGCCTCCCAGAGGCTGCTGGGTGCAAATCCCAACTATGCAAATCAGAGAGCCGGAAGGGACCCTGGAGGTCATCTAGTCCAGCCCCCCCCGGCTCAAGCAGGAGACCCTGTGCCATTTCAGACAAGTGGCTGTCCAGTCTCTTCTTGAAAACCTCCAGTGTTGGAGCTGGCTGGGTGGGGAAGCTGGGTGTTGTAGTCCAAGATGCTCAAAGGAGCAAAAGCTTGTGGTTCTTACTTCTCTCCAACCACAAGTGATTTTGACCAAGAAAAGGATTTCACATTTCTCTCTCTCTCTCTCTCTCTCTCTCTTTTTCTCTTTCTCTCTCTTTCTCTTTTTCTTTCTCTCTCACGCACGCACACACACACACACACACAATCTAATTTCTATCTAATCTATCACATCTATCTACCTACCTCTAGATATCTACCTATCTACATTTATCTGTTTATCTGTCTGTTAGTCCATCCAGAGAGAGAGAGAGAAAGAGAGAGAGAGAGACTGACTCTCCCTTCTAGCACTGATGATGTTACCTAGTGGGGTAATGAAATGTTTCCAAGAAAACATCCAGGTTCAGAGAGCACCAAGGATCCCACAGTTCTTTTCCTCCTCCTCCTCCTCCTCCTCCTCCTCCTCCTCCCTCTCCCCCTCCCCCTCCCCCTCCCCCTCCCTCCCATCTTCACAGCCACTCCCTTCCAGCACTGGTGTTGCTACCTAGTTGGGTCATGAAATGTCTGCAAGAAAACCACCAAGCTCAGAGAGCACCAAGGACCCCACCATTGTTCTTCTCCTCCTCCTCCTCCTCTTCTCCCTCCCTCCCATCTGCATAGTCATTCCCTTCTAGCACTGTTGATGTTATCTAGTTGGGTCATGAAACATCTGCAAGAAACCCACCCAGTTCTGGGAGCACCAAGGACACCATAGTCATTGTCCTCCCCCTCCTTCTTCCCTCTTCCATCACTGATGACGACATCTAGTCTGGTAATGAAACCCTTGCAGGCGTTCATCCTGAACCTGAGTCTTGGCTGATAATTTACTTCCTCGAACGGAGCTGTTTGTCACAAAATGCCTCTTCCGTGTGGGGTGTGCAGGACTTAAGTCCCTAGGACATGGGTAGGCATTAACCTTGGCTCTTTTATGACTCGTGGACTTCAACTCCCAGAATTCCTGAGCCAGCCATGCTGAGGGGAAAGGGAGAGGTTTCCAAGCTGAGCCATGCCGGCTCAGGAATTCTGGGAGTTGAAGTCCGCAAGTCATGAAGGGGCCATAGTTCCCCCATGCTGGCTGAGGAATTCTGGGAGTTGAAGTCCACCAGTCATAAAAGAGCCAAGGTTGCCTACCCCTGGTCTAGGCTGCTTCATGACTTGTGGACTTCAACTCCCAGAATTCCTCAGCCAGCATGGCTCCGCTTGGAAACCTCTCCCCTCAGCATGGCTGGCTCAGGAATTCTGGGAGTTGAAGTCCATGAGTCATGAAGGGGGCCATAGTTCCTCCATGTTGGCTCAGGAATTCTGGGAGTTGAAGTCTGCGAGTCATGAAGGGGGCCATAGTTCCCCCATGCTGGCTGAGGAATTCTGGGAGTTGAAGTCCACAAGTCATGAAGGGGTCATAGTTCCCCATGCTGGCTCAGGAATTCTGGGAGTTGAAGTCCACAAGTCATGAAGGGGGCAAAGTTTCCCTCATGCTGGTTTAGGAATTCTGGGAGTTGGTGCAGAAGTCATGAAGGGGCCATAGTTCCCCCATGCTGGCTCAGGAATTCTGGGAGTTGAAGTCCACGCATCTTACAGTCCCCCAGGTTGGGAAACAGTGAATTAAATGGATAAATGTGGGCATCTGGAGGCAGAGAGCAGAGGAACAGAGGCAAAGTTTCACACTCGTGGGCAGGCCGGAACTCTGGGGCACTGGGGGATACTAGAAACCATCTTCAGGAGCCCCACTGAAACCGACAAAAAAAGCAGATTTTTCTCTCTGCAATGATTGAAGCTGCAGATCTTTTTCTTTTTTGCAAACCCTTAACTGTTGAGGGAAGAGGTGGTGGACAGCTGGACTTTCTGCCCCACCAACTCTGGTTCCTCCTGGGGGAGGCTGTCTCCTGAAGTTACCTGTGACTCACTCTTCATGGGCCGGCCGGCTGGCTCTGCCCATGTTTCCTGTTTATCTTCCTGGCAGGCCGTGCCAAGCCATTACTCAGCGTGGGCAGAGAAATGGAGAGGAAAGGGGATGTTGCACGTAAGAGCTAAGACAATCCCAGGATTAGGCTTTGGACTTGGGCAAACCATGGTTTATTCGAAAGAGGCTCTCCTTTTTTTTTTCCAAATGGCAAACCAGCTGGCTGGGTTTGCAGAAACCGGCCTGGCAAAAACATAGTGGTGGTGGTAGTAGTAGTAGTAGTAGTAGTAGTAGTAGTAGTAGTAGTAGTAGTAGTAGTAGTAATGTTGGAAGGGACCTTGGAGGTCATCTAGTCCAACCCCCTGCTATACCATTTCAGGCAAATGGTCATCCAGTCTCTTCTTAAAAACTTCCAGTGTTGGAGCATTCAGCGCTTCTGGAGGCAGGTAGTTCCATTGATTAATTATTCTAACTATCAGGAAGCTTTTTCTTCGTTCTAGGTTGCTTCTCTCCTTGATTAGTTTCCATCCGTTGCTTCTTGTCCTTCCCTCTGGTGCTTTGGAGAATTGCTTGACTCCCTCTTCTTTGGGGCAGCCCCTGAGATACTGGAACACTGCTATCCTGTCCCCCCTTCTTTTCCTTAAACTAGACATACCCAATTCCAGCAACCGTTCCTGATACGTTTTAGCCTCCAGTCCCCTGATCATCTTTGTTGCCCTTCTCTGCACTCTTTCCAGAGTCTCAGCATCTTTTTTACAACGTGGTGACCAAACCTGGATGCTGTATTCCAAGTGTGGCCTTACCAAGGCCTTGTAAAGTGGTATTAACACTTCACATGATCTTGATTCTATCCTCTGTTAATGCAGCCTAGCACTGTGTTGGCCTTTTTGGCAGCTGCAGCACACGGCTGGCTCCTATTTAAGGGATTGTCCACTAGGACTCCGAGGTCCCTTTCACAATTACTACTATTGAGCAAGGTACCCCCCTATACTATACCTGTACCTTTGGTTTTTCTTGCCACTGAATTTCATTTTGTTAGATAGCGCCCAGTGTTCAAGTCTGTCCAGATCCTCCTGTATTTCACCAGTCTGAGCTGGTCAGCTGGTGCTTTTTTTCCCCTAGTCCTCAACTTACAACCGTTTGTGTGGCGAGGATTCAAAGTTAACGACGGCACTGGGGAAAAAAAAAAGATATGTGACCGCTGCAGCCATCCCTGTGTTCACATCAAAATTTGGATGCTTGGCAACTGGCTCATATTTATGACGGTTGCAGTGTCCCCCGGGGTCACGTGATCCCCTTTTGCAGCCTTCTGACAAAGCCAATGGGGGGAAGCCAGATTAACTTAACCAAGTTACCAGTTTAACAACTCCCAGAATTCCTGAGCCACCATGGGGGAACTATGGCCCCTTCATGACTCGTGGACTTCAACTCCCAGAATTCCTGAGCCAGCATGGCTCAGCTTGGAAACCTCTCTCTTTCCCCTCAGCATGGCTGGCTTAGGCCTAGACCAGGGGTAGGCAACCTTGGCTCTTTTATGACTCGTGGACTTCAACTCCCAGAATTCCTGAGCCAGCATGGGGGAAACTATGGCCCCTTCATGACTCGTGGACTTCAACTCCCAGAGCAACAAAGATGATTAGGGGACTGGAGGCTAAAACATATAAGGAACGGTTGCTAGAATTGGGTATGTCTAGTTTAACGAAGAGAAGGACAAGGGGGGACATGATAGCAGTATTCCAATATCTCAGGGGCTGCCATAAAGAAGAGGGAATTAAGCTATTTTCCAAAGCACCTGAAGGCAGGACAAGAAGCAACGGGTGGAAACTAATCAAGGAGAGAAGCAACCTAGAACTAAGGAGAAACTTCCTGACAGTGAGAACAATTAATCAGTGGAACAGCCTGCCTCCAGAAGCAGTAAATGCTCCAACACTGGAAGTTTTTAAGAAGAGACTGGACAGCCATTTGTCCGAAATGGTGTAGGGTTTCCTGCCGAGCAGGGGGTTGGACTAGATGACCTCCAAGGTCCCTTCCAACTTTACTATTATTATTATTATTATTATTATTATTATTATTATTATTATTATTATTATTATTAAATCCTGAGCCATTATGGGGGAAACTATGGCCCCTTCATGACTCGTGGACTTCAACTCCCAGAATTCCTGAGCCAGCATGGCTCAGCTTGGAATCCTCTCCCTTTGCCCTCAGCATGGCAGGCTCAGGAATTCTGGGAGTTGAAGTCCACGAATCATAAAAGAACCAACGTTGCCTACCTCTGGTGTAGCGTCTCCTGCTTGAACCAGGGTTGAACTAGATGACCTCAAAGGTCCCTTCCTACTTGGTTATTCTAATTCTAATGAAAAACAATTGCCGAGGACTTACTCGATTGAGGTGGCCGTGTTGTCGGAAAGCAGTCTTTTAAGATTAGGTGTTGTCGTTTCACAAAGAAGCTGGTGTGATTGTGAGTTATGTTTGTATGTGTGCTAGATCCTGCAATGTGTCTGAAAGAACTACAATTTGCGTTGAGATCCGGGAACGTGGAAACCTTCCCCCGATGTCCAGGTCTTTTCAGTTGCTTTCTTTGAGAGGGATTCCTTTCCTCTCTGTATGCATGTCGCTAGTCCTCTTTGGGTCTCAACATTTTTATTAGTTGATGTAAAATATAAAAATACAAAAGAGAATAAGGGGGCAGGAGAAGGGGAAGAGAGAAATGTCTTTCCGCTAACTCGGCTGGGTCTTCCCTCCTAGGGCGGAGAACTACTGGTGGCGCGGGCAGAATAAGCGGACGCTGAAGGTGGGCCAATTCCCACGCAACACGGTGACCTCTGTGGCGGGGCTGTCCGCCCACGACATCAGCCAGCCACTCAAGAACAGCTTCATCCACACGGGCCATGGCGACACCAATCCGCAGCAGAGCTGGGGCTTTCCCGATAAGATTGATGAGTAAGTAAGACGGAGGACGAGCGTGGTTTTAGTAGTTTATGTCTTTTGCTCACCACGATGTAAAAAAGATGCGGAGACTCTGGAAAGAGTGCAGAGAAGAGCAACAAAGAGGATCAGGGGACTGGAGGCTAAAACATACAATGAACGGTTGCTAGAATTGGGTAGGTCTAGTTTAATGACGAGAAGGACGAGGGGGGACAGGATAGCAGTCTTCCAGTATCTCAGGGGCTGCCCCAAAGAAGAGGGAGTCAAGCTCTTCTCCAAAGCACCTGAGGACAGGACAAGAAGCAACGGATGGAAACTCATCAAGGAGAGAAGCAACCTGGAACTAAGGAGAAACTTCCTGACAGTGAGGATAATTAACCAGTGGAACAACCTGTCTCCAGAAGCCGTGAATGCTCCAACACTTGGAAGTTTTTAAGAAGAGACTGGACAGCCATTTGTCTGAAATGGTATAGGGTTTCCTGCCTGAGCAGGGGGTTGTATTAGAAGACAAGAAACAAGGGTTGGAAACTGACCAAAGAGAGAAGCAACCTGGAATTAAGGAGAAAGTTCCTGACAGTGAGGACAATTAACCAGTGGAACAGCTTGCCACCAGAAATCATGGGCGCTCCATCCCTGGAGGTTTTTAAGAAGAGGCTAAACAGTCACTTGTCTGAGATGGTGTAGGTTCTCCTGCTTGAGCAGCGGGCTGGACTAGAAGATCTCCAAGGTCCCTTCCAGCTCTATTCTGATTGGTTGGTTGGTTGGTTGGTTGGTTGGTTGAAATGATCTAGTTCAGTGGTTCTCAACCTGTGGGTCGGGACCCCATTTGGGGTCGAACGACCATTTCACGGGGGTTGCCAAACAACGCAGTCCGCCATTTTTTCCCCTTTTCCTTAGCTGCGCTACTCCCTTTTATTCTATTGGCTGTTGAAAGCCAATAGAATAGACTCTCTTGAATAGAGTCTAATTCTATTGGCTTTCCAAAGCCAATAGGAATTGTCCAGGCTGTCTCTGCCCTGCTGAGCCCGCCAAAAGTCCCCTTCTGCAAACGGTGCTGCACCAGTTGAGTAGTCCTCGACTTACGACCGGTTGAGGTCGCGGCATTAAAAAGGTTGAGAACCACTGGTCTAGTTTCTCCTGCTTGAGCAGGGGGCTGGACTAGAAGACCTCCATGGTCCCTTCCAGCTCTACTCCATTCTATTCTTGTATCTGACCTCCAAGGTCCCTTATTCCATACTCTTCCTCCTTGCCTTAATCTGGGTCGTCCCTGCTGGGGGTGCAACCCTGGTTCCAGAACAGGGTGATGGCATGACTTCTATCTGCAATCAGCGTCAGAACCAAGGTAGCTGATTTCAGGCTGCGTGGCGCAAGAATTGTCCAGCAAGGAGTAGCTATGTCTGCCTCTCAGTTGCCATGGGGGTGGGGGGGGGGAGAGAAGACAAGGCCAAATTATTCTCAGTTTAATCAAGAGAAGAGAATCTTTGTAGATGATGAACGATGGGGCACTTGGTGGCCTTTGAGCGTGGCAGTTTTCTAGCAGACGTTTCACGACCCAACTAGGGAACATCATCCATACTAGGAGGGAGGGAGGGCGGGCTTCCAGAGAGGAGGAGGAGGAGCTGTAGGGTCTTTGGTGCTCTCAGAGCTGGGTGCTCTTTTTGTTTTGGCAGACGTTTCACGACCCAATTAGGTAACACAATCATTGCTAGAAGGGAATGGCGTTTGCTATTTGTTTGTATACAGTTCCTACCAGCCCTGGTGATGTTACCTAGTTGGGTCATGAAACGTCTGCAAGAAAACAAGCATGCTCAGAGAGCACCAAAGACCTCATAGTCTCCCCCCCCCTCCTCCTTCTTCTTCTCCTCCTCCTCTTCCTCTCCTCCTCCTCCTCCTCCTCTCCATAAACCCCACTCCCTTCTATCCCTGATGATGTTACCTAGTTGGGTCATGAAACGTCTGCAAGAAAACAAGCATGCTCAGAGAGCACCAAGAACCCCACAGTCTCCCTCCTCCTCCTCCTCCTCCTCCTCCTCTCCACAAACCCCACTCCCTTCTATCCCTGATGATGTTACCTAGCTGGGTAATGAAACGTCTGCAAGAAAACAAGCACGCTCAGAGAGCACCAAGGACCCCACCGTCAATTTAATTCCTTTTCATTTAAATTCCTTCCTTTATATATTTATCTTTTTTATCATTTTTGTAAGCCACCCAGAGTCACTTCAATGGCGAGAGGGGGCATCATAGAGACAGTCCTTCGGCTTATGACAACAATTAGGATCGGCACTGATTCTGTCGCTTAGTGAGTCACACTCCATTTGACCACCATTTTTGCACAATCGTTAAGCAGTTGTTTAGTGAATCCTGTAATTGGGCTTCCCCCGTCGACCTTGGTTGTCGGAAGCCGGTTGAGAAAGTCTCAGATAGCGGATCACGTGATCCCAGGATGCTGCCACTGTCCCAAATAACATGCCGTTTGCCGAGCGCCTGAATTTTGATCACAGGACCGTGGGGATGCCTCGGTGGTCGTACGTGCGAGGACTGTCCACATAAGATTTTTTTTTCAGTGCTGTTGTCACTTTGAATTGTCGCTAAATGAATGGTTGTAAGGCCAGCCCTACCTGTGTAAATTTAATAGTTAAAACAGAGAACCATATTTTGATCCCTTAAACAATCCTGGGTTGTATAAATGGAGAAATAGAAGAATCAAGATCAGATGAAGTGTTAGTACCCCTTTATAAGTAAGGCCACACCTGGGATCCTGCAGCCAATTTTGGTCACCATATCACAAAAAAGATGTTGAGGGTTTGGAAAAAATTCAGAGAAGAGCAACTAAGATGATCCAAGGCCTGGAGGCTAAAACATATGAAGAACAGCTGCGGGATTTGGATGTGGCCAGTCTAGAGAAAAGAAGAAATAGGGGAGACATGATAGCAGCATTGCAGTATTTGAGGGGCTGCCCCAAAGAAGAGGGAGTCAAGCTATTCTCCAAAGCACCTGAAGGCAGGAGAAGAAGCGACGGATGGAAACTAACCAATGAGAGAAGCAACCTAGAACTGAAGAGAAACTTCCTGACAGTGAGGACAATTAACCAGTGGAGCTGCTTGCCACCAGAAGTTGTGGGTACTTCATCACTGGAGGTTTTCAAGAAGAAACTGGACAGTCACTTCTCTGAAATGGTCTAAGGTCTCCTGTTTGAGCAGGGGATTGGACTTGAACAGGGGTAGGCAACCTTGGCTCTTTTATGACTCGTGGACTTCAACTCCCAGAATTTCTGAGTCAGCCACGCTGAGGGGAAAGGGAGAGGTTTCCAAGCTGAGCCAGGCTGGCTCAGGAATTCTGGGAATTGAAGTCCACCAGTCATAAAAGAGCCAAGGTTGCCTACCCCTGCCCTAGGTCTAGGCCGCCTTATGACTCACGGACCAACTCCCAGAATTCCTGAGCCAGCCACGCTGAGGGAAAAGGTAGCGGTTTCCAAGTTGAGCCATGCTGGCTGAGGAATTCTGGGAGTTGAAGTCCAGAAGTCATGAAGGGGCCATAGTTCCCCCATGCTGGCTCAGGAATTCTGGGAGTTGAAGTCCACGAGTCATAAAAGAGCCAAGGTTGCCTACCCCTGCCCTAGGCCTAGGCCGCTTTATGACTCGTGGACTTCAACTCCCAGAATTCCTGAGTCAGCCACGCTGAGGGGAAAGGGAGCGGTTTCCAAGCTGAGCCATGCTGGCTCAGGAATTCTGGGAGTTGAAGTCCACGAGTCATGAAGGGGCCATAGTCCCCCCATGCTGGCTCAGGAATTCTGGGAGTTGAAGTCCACAAGTCATGAAGGGGCCATAGTTCCCCCATGCTGGCTCAGGAATTCTGGGAGTCGAAGCCCATGAGTCATGAAGGGGCCATAGTTCCCCCATGCTGGCTCAGGAATTCTGGGAGTTGAAGTCCACGAGTCACGAAGGGGCCATATTTCCCCCATGCTGGCTCAGGAATTCTGGGAGTTGAAGTCCATGAGTCATGAGGGGGCCATAGTTTCCCCCATGCTGTCTCAGGAATTCTGGGAGTTGAAGTCCACGAGTCATGAAGGGGCCATAGTTCCCCCAGGCTGGCTCAGGAATTCTGGGAGTCGAAGCCCATGAGTCATGAAGGGGCCATATTTCCCCCATGCTGGCTCAGGAATTCTGGGAGTTGAAGTCCACCAGTCATAAAAGAGCCAAGGTTGCCTATCCCCGCCCTAGACTTAGGCCGCTTTATGACTCGTGGACTTCAACTCCCAGAATTCCTGAGTCAGCCACGCTGAGGGGAAAGGTAGAGGTTTCCAAGCTGAGCCATGCTGGCTCAGGAATTCTGGGAGTTGAAGTCCACGAGTCATAAAAGAGCCAAGGTTGCCTATCCCTGGATTAGAAGGCCTCCATGGTCCTTTCCAGCTTTATCCTGATTAAGTATGGTCAACATGAGCAAGACCACTTCGCACTAGGCCACTGGATATGCCCAGTCGCCCAAATGCCCCACCTAATCTCTTGATGGCAAGATTGGCTGCATTCGCACAAAGGAACGTGACCCATTTTTCCGAAGATGCATCCTCAGGGAACCGTGAAGCCTGGATGTGCGCACAAACCCCAGAGCCCAAGGAAGAACAAACTGAGATTAAAGCGAAGCCAAGCTTAGCACGTCGTAGCCTGTCGAACTGCCCAGACTTTTAACTGACCTGGGTTAAAGGGTGTTTGTGTGAACGCAGACAGCGAGGAACGAAGCCGGGAGAACTTCTTTGCCATTGAGGGAAAAAAAACAACATAACAGCACCTAATCAAAGCTCCTTTTTCTGAAAAATAAAAAGGGACTTTTTGTGTGCAAAAAAAAAGAAGAAAAAAAAAAGCAAGAGCTGAGGGTGAACAGACTTTTATTTTTCTATTCCTGAAAAGGACCTTTAAGACGCCTTTCTCCCACCTTTGCTTGACTTCCTTTCTTAAACAGTCAGCGACTCAGTCCTACGCCCACGTCGCTGGATGAGGTGTAGTTTGCCCTGGAAACGGGTGCGAAACTTGCAACATGGGCAGGACGCGTCATTCCCCCCATATCCTGTGTAGGAAGGGTGGCTTCCTTCCTCGGTCTCCGCTGTCACAAACCTTGCCTTTCACAGTGGGTTTGATTGCCAAAAACGTAAGATCCGTCGGACACACAGCTTCGTGCTGTGTGTGTCGTGGGTGTGGGTGTGTGGCTTTTGGCCCTGGAGTTGTGCACCTCCTCCAAGCCGGCTCGGTTGCGCAACTCCGGCTCTTGGCCTCTTGACGTGATCACCTGGGGTGGGTGTGTTGAGGTTGGTTGGCTGCCAACCAGTTGTGTGTGTTTGTACGCAGGTTCTGGCCCTCGCTGAATGAAGCATTCAGATGACCTGTTAAGCTGGTTTATCGCAAACAGCCTCGGTTGACCCACAACCGACACAAAAGAGTTTTCTGGGCCGCAACTCAGGAGTGGCTGGCGTGTGCTGTTTCCAGGATGTTTCTCGACCTGATTCAGTGTGAACAATTAGGGTGTGTGGATGGGTGTTGTGTTGTGGTTTAGCATATTGTGCAAACACATCGGGCACGTTTTATAGCGCGGGGTGTTGTGTTGTGCAAAGCCAGAAGATGGGTTGGTTTTGGTCATTGGTGAGCCATTCGAGGTGAATCTGGAACTAAGGAGAAACCTCCTAGTAACAGTGAGGACAATTAGCCAGTGGAACTCCTTGCCACCAGAAGTTGTGTGTGCTTCATTACTGGAGGTTTTAATGAAAAAAACTAGACAGTCACTTGTCTGCTCTTGCTCAAGCAGGGGGTTGGACTAGAAATAGAAATAGAATTAAAATTAGGAAATTAGAATAGAATAGAATAGAATAGAATAGAATAGAATAGAATAGAATATATGGAATGGAATAGAATAGAATAGAATAGAATAAGGGAATGGAATGGAATGGAATGGAATAGAGGATAGGAAATAGAATGGAATGGAATGGAATAGGATAAGGGAATGGAATAGAATAGAGTATAATGGAATAGAATAGAATATAGAATAGAATAGAAAATATGGAATAGAATGGAATGGAATAGAATAGAATAGAAAATATGGAATAGAATAGAAAATATGGAATGGAATAGAATAGAATTGAAAACATGGAATGGAACGGAATGGAACAGAACAATAGAAAATATGGAATGGAATAGAATAGAGAAAAGGAATAGAATAGAATAGAATAGAATAGAATAGAGAAAAGGAATAGAATAGAATGGGGAATGGAATAGAACAGAATAGAGTAGAATAGAACAGGGAATAGAATAGAACAGAGAATAGAATAGAGTAGAGTAGAGTAGAGTAGAGTAGAGTAGAATAGAGTAGAATAAAGAGAGAGAGTAGAATAAAGAGATAGAATAGCAAGTAGCTTGTTTCAACTTTTTCCCTCTTTCTTTTCCCATTCTCCTTTTCTGCAGCTTGTACCTGGGAAATCCCATGGACCCCCCGGATGTCCTAGGATTGGATTTGAACCCTGCCAGGCCTACTCAGCTCCCAGGAAGGATAAAAAGTAAGAAATTTCATCTAACGTGTTCACTGCATGTGTTGCAGAACTGCGAGACCCAGAATGCCTTTCGTCTGGAGTTCCCACACCGGTGCATGCTGGGAACGGTAGTTTTCAAAGCCAAACACCCAGTGCAAAAGAATCTCTGTAGCGCAGGGTTGAACTGAGGGGTCCTTGGTGCTCTCTGAGCTTGGTGGTTTTCTTGCAGACGTTTCATAACCCAACTAGGTAACATCATCAGTTACAGAAATGGGTTTTTGCTCTTTGTTTATAAACAGTATAATTCCTCCCCCTCTTAGCATTGATGATATTACCTAGTTGGATCATGCAAGAAAACCACCAAACTCAGAGAGTACCAAGGACTTCACAGTCCTTTTTCTCCCCCTCCTCTTCCTCTCTGCAACCCCTCCTTCCTTCTAGCACTGATGATGTTACTAGTTGGAGAATGAAACGTCTTCCAGGAAACCTCAAGAGAGCATCAGACACTTTGAGACAGGGTTTAAAAAAGGTGGGAGACTGCAACCGCAGTTTTTCCTGGGCTGCTCCCCTCCCATCTGAATGGATGGGAACCATGGACGCTGTAGTCCCTGCCAGTTAGAGACGGCTGTTTTCTCCGATCTTTCCTTTTCAGGGCGTTTTCCTATCCCCTCGCACTTGCGCCCGCTTCCCTTGTTCCTCCTGCTTTCAGGGTCCCTCTTCCCGAGCCCAGTTTCAAAAGAATCTCGTACGCAGCCCTCAACGTACGACCACAGTTTCCGTTGCGAGTCCCTGCGGTCGTAAGTTGATTCAAGCCCAATTTGGCAGCCATTTTTTAACGCCTCTCTCTCTCATCCCAAAGCAAGCCCAGTGGCTGTAAGCGGGAAGCTACATCGTAAATGTGAGCCGGTGGCCAAGCATCCCAACGGCGATCACGTGATCCCGTGGGTGGGGCGGCGGTCGTAAGCACGAGGAACGTCATAAGCGTGAGGACCAGATTTCCCCCACACACACACACAATGTTTGAAAACTCCGATTGGCTGCTAAATGAATGCATGGCCATAACTCGAGGACCACCTGTAATTCCAAACTTCGAACTTGTCTTTATAGTCTGTTATGAGCTGCCTGGGAAGTGTTCTTGAGATGAGGAGCCCCAGGGCTCTGTTCTGGGCCCAGGGCTCTTCAACATCTTTATCAACGATTTGCATGAGGGCATAGATGGGGAACTCATCAAATTTGCAGATGACACCAAGCTGGCAGAAATAGCCAAAACTCCAGAAGACAGGCTTAGGATACAGGAGGATCTGGACAGATTTGAACACTGGGCACTAACTAACAAAATGAAATTCAATGGTGAAAAAAGTAAGGTTCTCCATTTAGCCAAGAAAAACCAAATGTATAGGTATAGTATAGGGCAGGGGTAGGCAACCTTGGCTCTTTGATGACTGGTGGACTTCAACTCCCAGAATTCCTCAGCCAGCATGGGGGAACTAAGGCCCCTTCATGACTTAAGGACTTCAACTCCCAGAATTCCTGAGCCAGCCTGGCTCAGCTTGGAAACCTCTCCCTTTCCCCTCAGCATGGCTGGCTCAGGAATTCTGGGAGTTGAAGTCCACGAGTCATAAAAGAGCCAAGGTTGCCTACCCCTGGTATAGGGGGTACCTTGCTCAATAGTAGCAACTGTGAAAAGGATGTCGGAGTCCTAGTGGACGATCCCTTAAACAGGAGCCAGCCGTGGGCTGCAGCTGCCAAAAAGGCCAACACAGTGCTAGGCTGCATTAACAGGGAGAGAATCAAGATCACGCAAAGTATTAATACCACTTTACAAGGCCTTGGTAAGGCCACACTTGGAATACGGCATCCAGTTTTGGTCACCACGATGTAAAAAAGATGTTGAGACTCAGGAAAGAGTGCAGAGAAGAGCAACAAAGATGATCAGGGGACTGGAGGCTAAAAGATACAAGGAATGGTTGCTGGAATTGGGTATGTCTAGTTTAAGGAAGAGAAGGACGTTGTATTTACAACGGTTTCCGTGTCCTGGGGGGGGTGTCAGGCGATTCCCCTTTTGTGACCTTCCTCACCAGCGGGGGAAGCTGGGTCTGCTTAACGACCATCCTACTGATTTAACAACTGCAGTGATTCACTTAAGGACAGAAAGGCCGGATAGGTCGCAAAACAGGGCAAAGCTCACTGAATGGTTGTCTCGGTTAGCAGCAGAAGTTTTGGGCTCGGCTACGCTCGTAAGCGGAGGACCCCCTGTAACGTCGTCCCACAATCCCATCTCCATTTAGGATTGGCCTGCCCCCTTTGCGCTTGTAACCTAGCCCAGGCTGAGTGGCCTCGCTGCCTTTCTTGGTCCTCCCTGAAACCAAGGGGGTGCATCGATTCCCATCATCCACTGCCTCCCAGAGGCTGCTGTGGGCACAAAGCCCAGGCTTTGTACCCACAGTCGGGGGGGGGGGACGACATCTTGAATTTTAACCTTCTCTTCCGAGAGTTCGTTCCGCATCCTGCAGAAATGAAGCTTAAGGAAAACTATTCTGTCCTCTTAACTGCTTAGGACAGTGGTTCTCAACCTTTTTAATGCCGTGACCCCCCCCAACCGGTCATTAAGTCGAGGACTACTCAACCGGTCGTAAGTCGAGGACTACTCAACTGGTGCAGCCCCGTTTGCAGAATGGGACTTTTGGCGGGCTCAGCAGGGCAGAGACAGCCTGGACAATTCCTATTGGCTTTGGAAAGCCAATAGAATGAGACTCTATTCAAGAGAGCCTATTCTATTGGCTTTCAAAAGCCAATAGAATAAAAAGGAGTAGCCCAGCTAAGGAAAAGGGGGAAAAAATGGCGGACTGCGTTGTTTGGCGACCCCCGTGAAATGGTCGTTCCGGCTTAGGGGCTGAGACCCCCCCCGCCTACCCCAAGGGGTTCTTCCTGGCCCTGTTGATTGGCTGCTTTCACACCCTCTATTCTGCCCTCTCTCTGCCCCTCCCACCTCGCTTGAAGCCACAAACGAAGGCTCTGCTCTCCTTTTTTCCCTTTCGCTGCAGTCTCTCTCTCTTTCTCTCTCTCCCTGCAGGAGAGCCGCCACCTCGGCCGCCCCAGCCCTCGATCCTTCTCAAGCGTAAGTGGGGTCACCTTCCCAGCTATTGTGCCTCTTGTGGTTGCTTTTTTTCTTCTTCTTTTTGTTCCTTTCTGGACAGGGATGGTCGGCCCCTTGAGGTAAACCGTAGTAGGAAAACGCATGCTGAGGCGACTTCTAATATAAGATTGTAGCGACGGAATTTTGCAAGTTGGAAGGCGCTTCTTTCCTCCCTTCATCTGTATAAGAAATGGGGAGGGGCTTATTTGAAAGATTAGGAGGTACTTAATGACTGGCCCTAGAGACCAGGAGAACGTCTGCCTTAGGCATGAAAGCCAGCTGAGTGACTTTTGGCCAATCACCAGGAGACGGTGAGTTCTAGTCCCGCCTTAGACACAAGCCCAGCTGGGTGACTTTGAGCCAATCACCAGGAGACGGTGAGTTCTAGTCCCGCCTTAGACACAAACCCAGCTGGGTGACTTTGGGCCAATCACCAGGAGACGGTGAGTTCTAGTCCCGCCTTAGACACAAACCCAGCTGGGTGACTTTGAGCCAATCACCAGGAGACGGTGAGTTCTAGTCCCACCTTAGGCAGGAAAGCCAGCTGGGTGACTTTGGGCCAATCCCCAGGAGACGGGGAGTTCTAGTCCCGCCTTAGACACAAACCCAGCTGAGTGACTTTGGGTCAGTCCCTCTGTCTCAGGCCAACCCACCTCACACAGGGTTGTCGTGGGGAAAAGAGGAGGAGGAAGGAATATTAGGTGCGTCCAGCAAGGAGAGAAGAAGGAAGGAAGGAAGGAAGGAAGGAAGGAAGGAAGGAAGGAAGGAAGGAAGGAAGGAAGGAAGGAAGGGGAGAAGAAAGAAGGAAGGAAGAGAAAATGAAGGGAGGAGGAAGGCAGGAAGGAAGGAGAGAAAAAAAGGAAGGAGAGAAAGGGAGAAGAAGAGGAATGAAGGAGAAGAGGGATGAAGGACAAAGGGAGGAGAAAGGAAGGGAGAAGAGGAAGGAGGGAGAAGGAAGGAAGGAGAAAGGAAGCAGGAAGAGGAAGGAAGGAGAAAGGAAGGCAGGAAGGAGGAGAGAAAAAAGGAGAAAGGAAGGGAGAAGAGGAAGAAGGAGAGAAAGGAAGGCAGGAAGGAGGAGAGAAAAAAGGAGAAAGGAAGGGAGAAGAGGAAGGCAGGAAGAAAGGAAGGGAGAAGGAAAGGAGGAAGGAGAAAGAAAAGAGGAAGGAAGGAGAGAAAGGAAGGCAGGAAGGAGGAGAGAAAAAGAAGGAGGAAGGAAAGGAGAAGAGGAAGGCAGGAAGAAAGGAAGGGAGAAGAAAAGAAGGAAGGAAGAGAGAAGAAAGAAAGAAGGGAGGAGAGAGAAAGAAAGACAGCCTGCCCTTTGTCTCTTTCAGAGCCCTTGTACGATCCGGTGACCGAGGAGGACAACCCCCTGGCCATCAGTCTCAAGCAGCTTCGCCTGAAGAAGACGTCCGGCCTGGGGCCCAAGGCCGGCCTCCCGCTCGCCAAGCCCTCCGCCTGTGTCTCGGGCACCCAGGTGGGCGAGAGGCTGCTCCTGCCCCGCTCCAAAGGGGGGGGCAGCGGTGGCTTCCCCGCTCACGAGGTCACCCTCATAGACTTTGGCGACGAGCCCCCCAGCCCGAACCCCGCCAGGGACTTCTGCGCCCCGTCCTTGGCCCGCCTAGCCATGGAGGCTTTCTCCTTGTTGGACAAGACCCCTCCCCAGAGCCCCTCGCAGGCCCTGCCCCGCCCCTTGCACCCCACGCCCGTCGTGGACTGGGACGCCCGGCCCCTCCCTCCGCCCCCCGCCTACGACGACGTGGCCCAGGACGAAGAGGACTTGGAGGTCTATGCCATCAACAGCGTCGACGGGCTGCGGGGACGGGCGCGGGGCAGGAGCTGGGCGAAAGGGGAGGTCGACGGCGGCTCGGCCCCGGAGGGAGACCCTCGTCCCGCTCTCCCCTTGGAGGACAACCTCTTCCTGCCCGCCAAGGAGAGCAAGCAGCCCAGCCCGGCCCAGACCACGGAGATCTTCCAGGAACTGCAGCAGGAATGCATGAAGCACCTCAAGGTGCCCCTGGGTGGACCCTACGTGGCCGCCGTCCCGCGTCCGGGCGAGGACAAGCCGCAGGTCCCTCCTCGTGTGCCCCTCCTGCCCCTTCCTTTCCGCCGGAACGAGCCCGGACGCTGGTCCGGAGACCCGTCGCCAGCTTCCGGAGGGGAGGAGGAGCAGCGCCCGCCCCAGATCCCACCCCGAGATCGGTTGTCCCAGCCGGGATCCCGGACTCCCAGCCCCAGGTCCCTCCACGGCGGGTCCCCCCAACCGAGAACCAACCTCTGCTCCCCGCTGTCTCTGGGGGCCTTCCTGTCCACCTCGCCCGGGAAGCCGCCCATGCCCACCACCCAGAGCTTCGCTTTGGACCCCAAGTACGCCACCCCCAAAGTCATCCAGGCCCAGGGCAAGGAGTGCGCCAAGGGGCCCTGCATCTTGCCCATCGTCAAGGACGGGCGGAAAGTCAGCAGCACCCACTACTACCTCCTCCCGGAGCGCCCGCCTTACCTGGACAAATACGAGAAGTTCTTCAAGGAGGCCAAGAGCCCGGAGGAAAGCGGGGGGCCGAGCCGAGTGATCACCACGGCCACGGTGCGGCCCATGATCCAGCAGAAGCCGGCGCCGGACTACAAAGCCAACTTCTCGGCCAACAATAGCAATAGCAGCGTCAAGGCCACCTGTGGCCTCCAGAAGATCATCTACGAGGGTTCTGAAGGCCCTCGGAGTTCGGAGAAGATACGGCAGGTGAGTGGTCCTCTGGAGCGGGGCTGCCTCGCTGGAGCTGGAGGAGCAGGTGGACCTGTTGGGGGGGGGGTCCTGGGGGCTCCCTGAGCTGGGTGGTTTTTCTCGGCAGACGTTTCACGACCCAACTAGGGAACATCATCAGGGCTAGAAGGGAGGAGGTTTGCAAAGTGGGAAGGAGGAGGAGGATTGGGGGGCCCTTGGTGCTCTCTGAGCTGGGTGGTTTTCTTGCAGACGTTTCATGACCCAACTAGGCAACGTCATCAGTGCCAGAAGGGAGGGTAGTTTGCAGAGAGGAGGAGGAGGAGAAGGAAGGATGGATGGATGGATGGATGGATTGTGGGGTCCTTGGTGCTCTCTGAGCTGGGTGGTTTCCTTGCAGACGTTTCATTGCCCAACTAGGTAACATCATCAGTGCTAGAAGAGAGTGATGGAGGAGGAGGAGGACTGTGGGGTCCTTGCTGTTCTCTGAGCTGGGTGGTTTTCTTGCAGACGTTTCATGACCCAACTAGGCAACGTCATCAGTGCCAGAAGGGAGGGTAGTTTGCAGAGAGGAGGAGGAGAAAGGAAGGAAGGAAGGAAGGACGGACTGTGGGGTCCTTGGTGCTCTCTGAGCTGGGTGGTTTTCTTGCAGATGCTTTACAACCCAACTAGGGAACATCATCAGGGTTAGAAGGGACTGGGATTGGAGGGGAGAGGAGGAAAAGAAGAGAAGGAGAAAGAGGAGGAGGAAAAGAGGAAGAGGAGGACAACCATGGGGTCCTTGGTGCTCTCTTGAGCTGGGTTCCAAGCTCAAGAGAGCAGCGAAGAACCCTCATTTCAACTCTTGAGTTACAAATAGACGCCTCGATTGGAGCGACCCCTGACCTCCCGTCACTCGGGAGTCCCTGGCGGCCTCCCCTCCAGAGAAGTCCCCAGGGGGTCCTTGCCCAGGTCACAAATCGGTGTGAAGCCCACCGATCCACCATGACCGTGGTGTTCCCACAAGACTTAACTGGGCCTGCAGTCAACTAGCTCATCAGGATGGATTTGATCCTCCCTTAGGGTTTGAAGGCCGCACCTCTGCCTTAATTGTCTTATGCTCCCTTCCCTCCTTCCTCCCCTCCCTCCCTCCTTTCCTCCGTTCCTCCCTCCTTTCTTCCTCCCTCCATTCCTTTCTTCCCTCCCTCCCTCCTTCTGTCCTTTCCTTCTCCCTCCTCCCTCCCTCTATTCCTTCCTTTTTTTTCTTCCTTTTGTCTCTCCCTCCGTTCCTCCCTCCCTCCTTCTGTCCCTTCCTACCTTCCTTCTCCCTCCCTCCTTCCATCCCTTCCTTCTCCCTTCCTCCATTCCTCACTCTCTTCCTCCTTCCTCCCTTCTCCTTCCCTCCCTCCCTTCCTTTCTTCCTTCCCTCCCTTCCTTCCTCCCTTCCTCCTTCCGTCCCTTCCTTTTCCCTCCCTCCCTTCCTCCGTTCCTTACTTCCTTCCCTCCCTCCTTCCATCCCTTCTTCCCTCCTCCCTCCCTCTATTCCTTCCTTTTTTCTTTCTTCCTTTCGTCCCTCCCTCCTTCCATCCCTTCCTTCTCCCTTCCTCCGTTCCTCCCTCCCTCCCTCTCTTCCTCCTTCCATCCCGTCCTACCTTCCTTCTCCCTCCTTCTCTTCCTCCTCCCTCCCTCCCTCCTTCCTTTTTTTTCTTTCTTTCGTCCCTCCCTCCCTCCCTCCCTCTTCCCTCCTTCCCTCCTTCCTTCCTTCTTTGCTCCCTCCCTCCCTCGCTCCGTTCCTCCCTCCCTCCTTCCATCCCTTCCTCCCTTCTTTCTTTCCTCCTTCTGTCCCACCCTCTCTTTCTTCTGTAGTGGCAGAGTGGCTAAAAATGCAGTATTGCAAGCAAACTCTGCCCACTGCCAGGGGTTCAATCCTGACCTGCTGAAGGTGGGCTCAGCCTTCCATCCTTCCCAGATCCATAAAACGAGGAGCCAGATTGTTGTTTTTTTTGGGGGGGGGGGGAGCAATACGCTGACTCTAAACTGCTTAGAGAGGGCTGTAAAGCACCATGAAGCGGTGTATAAGTCTGCGTGCTGTCGCTGCACAGATGTTGCCCAGCTGCACCATCTTGATCCCCTTCGCAGGTCCAGGAGACGGTGCACGGGGTCACCACTGAGGAGTGTCAAGCCGCCCTGCAGAATCACAGCTGGAGCGTGCAGAAGGCTGTCCAGTACCTGAAGGTAGAAACATCTGCATGGAGCATTTCTCCTCCTGGCGCAAGGAACAGGAGGGGGATTTTTTGAGTCTGTGTGTGTGTGTAGCCCTAGCCCAGAATAAATCAAATGGAAACCAAAAGCAACCCATGAGGAAGATTCCTTTTGATCGTGAAGTTACAGACCAGCCTTCCCAATCCTGTGGGGGTCCTTGGTGCTGTCTGACCATGGTTTTCCTGCAGACATTTCATCACCAAACTAGGTAACATTTTCAGTGCTAGAAGAATAGAGTAGGGTACGGTAGGGAAGGGAATGGAATATAGAATAGAATAGAATAGAATAGAATAGAATAGAATAGAATAGAATAGAATAGAATAGAATAGAATAGAATAGAATAGAATAGAATAGAATAGAATAGAATAGAATAGAATAAAATAATAATTAGAATAAATAGAGAAAGGGAATAGAATACAATAGAATAGAATAGAATAGAATAATAATTAGAATAGAATAGAATAGAAAATAGAACAGAACAGAATAAAATAGAATAATTAGAATAGAATAAAGAAAAGTAACAACAGAAAACAACAGAAGAATAGAATAGAACAATACAGAATAGAATAGAATAATAATTAGAATAGAATAGAGAAAAAGAATAGAATAGAGAAAAATAGAATAGAATAAGATAATAATTAGAATAGAGAAAAAGAATAGAATAATAATAGAATAGAAAATAGAACAGAACAGAATAAAATAGAATAGAATAATAATTAGAATAGAAAAGGAATAGAATAGAATAGAATAAATAAAATAATAATTAGAATAGAATAGAGAAAAGGAACAACAGAAAACAGAACAGAAGAATAGAATAGAATAGAACAGAATATAGAATATAGAATAGAATAGGAGAAAAAAGAATAGAATAAAATAATAATTAGAATAAATAGAGAAAAAGAATAGAATAGAATAATAGAATAGAAAACAGAACAGAATAAAATAGAATAGAATAATAATTAGAATAGAATAGAGAAAAGGAATAGAATAGAATAGAATAGAATAGAATAGAGAAAAGGAACAGAACAGAAGAATAGAATAGAATATAGAATAGAATAGAATAGAAAGGGACCTTGGAGGTCTTCTAGTCCAGCCCCCTGCTCAAGTAGGAGAACCTATACCATCTCAGACAGGCGATTGTCCACTCTCTTCTTAAAAACAGTGATGGAGCGCCCACGATTTCTGGTGGCAAGCTGTTCCACTGGTTGATTGTCCTCATGGTCAGAAGGAGGAGGAGCAGGAGAACTGGGGGCTGTTTTCATGTCCCCCCTGGTCCTCCTTTTCTCTAGACTGGCCGTACCCAAATCCTTAAATGTTTTTGTCTCCAGGCCTTTAATCCTCTGAGTTGCTCTCTGCACTTTTTCCAAAGTCCCAATATCTTTTTTTTTTGTAACGTGTGGTGACCACCTTGACTGTAGTTTTTGTAATGTGACGCTCTCTCCCGCCTGCCCCTCGTCTGCAGGTTGAGCAGCTCTTCTGCCTGGGACTGAAGACGCGGCTGGAATGTCACAAAGTTCTGGAGATGTTCAACTGGAACTTGGAGCAGGCCAGTTCTCACCTGCTGGACCCCTATAACGCCGGCCAACTCAAGTAAGAGGAACCATGTGGCACAGCTGGCCACGTTCTCTTCCGGAAGGGAAGCTTTTTCTCCTTGCTAGGTTGCCAGTGCTGTTGTCTAGGACAGATGGGAGCCTACAGCAGGGGTCTTCAAACTTGGCCCTTTTATGATTTGTGGACTTCAACTCCCAGAATTCCTCAGCCAGCGTGGAGTTGAAGTCCACCAGTCATGAAGGGGCCATAGTTCCCCCACGCTGGCTGAGGAATTCTGGGAATTGAAGTCCATGAGTCATGAGGGGGCCATAGTTCCCCCATGCTGGCTGAGGAATTCTGGGAGTTGAAGTCCACGACTCATGAAGGGGCCATAGTTCCCCCATGCTGGCTGAGGAATTCTGGGAGTTGAAGTCCGCAAGTCATGAAGGGGCCATAGTTCCCCCATGCTGGTTGAGGAATTCTGGGAGTTGAAGTTCACGAGTCATGAGGGGTCCATAGTTCCCCCATGCTGGCTGAGGAATTCTGGGAGTTGAAGTCCACGACTCATGAAGGGGCCATAGTTCCCCCATGCTGGATGAGGAATTCTGGGAGTTGAAGTCCACCAGTCATGAAGGGGCCAAGTTTGAAGACCCCTGGCCTACATGTGAACCTACAACTCTTGTTTTTTTTTTCCAGGCGGTCTCCCATCCGGGTACAGGTAGTCCTCGACTTAACAACAGTCCATTTAGTGATCGAAGTTACAACAGCATAGGAAAAAGGGACTTAATGACCATTGTTCATGTTTAATGACCGTTGTAGCCTCCCCGTGATAATGGGATCAAAATTCAGACGTTTGGCCACTGGTTCATATTTATGACAGTCGCAGGGTCCCCCCGGGGGTCATGTGACCCCCCCTTTTGCGACCTTCGGACAAGCTATGCTAACGGAGAAGCTGTGTTTACCAGCTTAGCAACGACAGAGATTCACTTAACGGCTGTAGCAAGTAAGGTCGTAAAAGGAAGCAAAACTCACTTCGCAACTGTCTCGCTTAGCAACGGAAAGTTTGGGGCTCGGCTGTGGCCGTAAGCCGCGGAGTACCTGTACTTTAGTGGCTTCATTCAGTATTTTGGATGAATCTGGCTTAATTGGCTTGTAGATCCAGGCAGGGCGTGAACTCGGAAAAGAGACAAACTTGACAAGCAAGTAGAGAGTGCTGTGTGAATGCCTCCGAGATCAGAAGAGCGGTTCTCTTCTCAGTTCTTTTCCACTGATTTTTTTTTCTCCCCTGCAGATATATTCCTTACTGCTTGCTCCTGGGAGAGAGAGAGAGAGAGAGAGAGAGAGAGATGGAAGGAGGGAGAAAAGGGGATGGATGGAAGGGAAGGGAAGGAAGAAGGGAATGAGGAAATGAGGAAGGAAGGAAAGGAGAATGGAATGAGGAAACAAGGAAGGGAGAAAGGGAGGGAGGAAGGATGGAAGGAGATGGAAGTGAAAGGAATGGAGGGATGAAGGTAGGATGGAAGGAAGGAAGAAGGGAATGAGGAAGCAAGGAAGGGAGGGAGGGAGGGAAGGAAGAAGGGAATGAGGAAACAAGGAAGGGAGAAAGGGAGGGAAGAAAAAGGAAGTGAAAGGAACGGAGGGATGAAGATAGGATGGAAGAGGGAGGGAGGATAGATGGAGGGAAGGAAGGAGAAAGGAATGAAAGGAAGGGAGCGAGGATGGAGGGGAGGAAGGAAGGAGAAGGGAATAAAGCAAGGAAGGAGAGAAAGGGAGGAGGGAAGGAAGAAGGGAACGAAAGGAAGGGAGGGATGAAGATAGGAGGAAAGGAAGGAAGAGGGAGGGAGGATGGAAAAAAGGAAGGAGAAAGGAAAGAAAGAGGAAAGAAAAAGTCTCACTTTATTTGCTTTGCTTGCTTCTCATCCTTCCAGACGGTGAACAATACTCGTCTTCCCAAGCAATGGACCTTGGAGGGGGGGGGGGGAGAATGTCCAGAATCGGTGACCGTCTTCCATCCTTATTGGACCAAGCGTCGCTTTTGAGGCGGTGGGTGATGGATCCCGGAGAAGAAGAAGGCGGCCCTGCAGCTAGGACTGCCCTGGACAGCCGGCAGGGTCCCACCGCCTCCCGCCTCCCTCTCAGCCGGTGACTGTACCCCCCCCCTCTCTCTCTCGGCGGAGGCAGGCCGAGTTGCTGGCGTTCTCCCTGCTTCGGCTCTTATTCTCGCTGCTGGATTGCTTTTGTAAAAGAGAAGTGTTCGCGTTAATATATATATATATATAAATACTCTGTTCTATTTTGGAGAAAAAGGACGACGTTTCCACTTGCACGTTCGTCTCTGGGAAGGTTGGGGGGGACGTTGAATCTTTGGAAAGAGGGCGGAAGGGGCTAGCAAGCCCCTGAAAGGGGGGGGGAGAGAGAACCAGTGACATGACATGATGTAACGGTATGTAGGGGAAAGGCCTTGGGAGACGGAGGAAAGGGAGCTGCGTAGAGAACAGGCAGATAAGAGACAGCTGAGTAGCTCCATTCTTTGTATCTTGCCCCACGGTTATATACACTTAACATACTGCTTGACGGGGCTTCAGTTTGCAGCTCTCTCTGAGCAGTTTACAGAGTCAGCCCGTTGCCGCCCCCCCCTCTCCCGCGACAATCTGGGTCCTCATTTTACCGACCTGGGAAGGACGGAAGGCTAAGTCAACCCTGAGCCGGTCAGGGTCGAACTGCTGGCAGTGGGTAGAATTAACCTGCAACACTGCAGTCTAACCACTGCACCACCACGGAAGGAAGGAAGGAAGGAAAGAGAAAGGAAGAAAAAGAAAGAAAAAATAGAAATAGCACTTACATACTGCTTCCCAATGTTTTACAGCCTTCTTTGAGCGGTTTACAGAGTCCGCCTTTTGCTCCCCAACAATCTGGATCCTCATTTTACCGACCTCAGAAGGACAGAAGGCTGAGTCAACCTTGAGCCAGTCAGGATTGAACTGCTGGCAGTGGGCAGAGTTAGCTTGCCATGTTGCATTCTATCCTGTGCACCACCACGAAAGGAAGGAAGAAAGGAAGGGGAGAGAGGAGAGAAGAAAAAGAAAGAAAGAAAGAAAGAAAGAGAAAGAAAGAGAAAGCAATAGCACTTATATGCTGCTTCACAATTCTCTCTGAGCGGTTTACAGAATTTGCATCTTGACCCCAACAATCTGAGTCCTCATTTTACCAACCTTGGAAGGACGGAAGGCTGAGTCAACCTTCAGCCGGTCAGGATCGAACTGCTGGCAGTGGGCAGAGTTAGCTTGCCATGCTGCATTCTAACCATTGCATCACCATAGAAGGAAGGAAGGAAAGAGAGAAAGGAAAGTAAGAAAGAAATAGAACTTACATACTGCTTCACAATGCTTTACAGCCCTCTTTGAGCGGTTTACAGAGTCAGCGTATTTTGCCCCCAACAATCTGGGTCCTCATTTTACCGACCTCGGAAGGACGGAAGGCTGAGTCAACCTTGAGCCGGTCAGGAATCGAACTCCTGGCAGTGAGCAGAGTTAGCTTGCAATGCTGCGTTCTATCCTGTGCACCACCACGGAAGGGGAGGGAGGGAAGGAAGGAGAGAGGAGAAAAAGAAGGAAAGAGAAAGAAAAACAAAGCAATAGCACTTATATGCTGCTTCACAATTCTCTCTGAGCGGTTTACAGAATTTGCATCTTGACCCCAACAATCTGGATCCTCATTTTACCAACCTTGGAAGGCTGAGTCAAGCTCCAGCCGGTCAGGGTGGAACTCCTGGCCGCGGGCAGAATTTAGCCTGTAATTCTGTATTCTAACCACCGCGCCACCAGGATTCCTGGGGTGAACAAACAGGGTGAACCTGGAAGCATACTACTAGTACACAAAGGTAACTTAGAGTTGCCATTACTGACACTCGGTGGGATCCGACTCCTGGCTGGAATGTGTTGATGGAAGGAGGCAAGCTATTCCAAAGAAACTGGACATAACGAAAGAGGAGGTGAAGTTGCATGACATAAAAGCTCACTACAGCTCTACAGTCCCAAAGGCGGGTCCTGTTCAGGAGAGGCCACTGGACTTCCTTGTTTTTCCTCTGAAGACGTTTTGCGCCTCGCCCAAGAAGCTTCTTCAGCTCTGACTGGATGGTGGGGAAATGGAAAGATTTATACTCCTTGCAGACAGAGCTGGTCCTTTGCATCCTTTAGAGCAGGGGTCCTCAACCTTGGCAACTTTTAAGACTGGTGGACTTCAACTCCCAGAATTCCTCAGCCAGCAAAGGAATTGTGGGAGTTGAAGTCCACAAGTCTTAAAAGTTGCCACGGTTGAGGACCCTTGCTTTAGAGAGTCACTGAGGCCACTTGGAGGTTTAACCTGTGACCTCGGGGTCACCTTTTATGGGAACTGCTGAAAGTGTTGTCGACTGGAGATGGGTGGTGTGGTACCCTTCCCCTTCTGTTCTTTTGGGGATCGGCAGAAGAAAAGACATTAATTAATCGATCACTGTGTTCTCAATAAGGCCTTGCAGGCTCAGGAACGGGAACAAAGGAGCTTATCAGTCGCGGGATAGAACATCTGAGGCTCTACCCGGAGTTTTAACCCCCAAATTATCTTTCAACAGCCACTTACCTAGGATCTTAACACGGGGGGGCACCTTGTGGTCATCTAGTCCAACCCCCTTACTCAGGGCGGGAATCTGAATTCAGGCCCCTGAGGCTTGAACCTGGGGCTTGCTTGGTCCTTTTTTTAAGAGGGTCCTTGAGGCCACCTGGATGCTTACCTGTGTTCTCGGGGTCACCTGGGTGGTGCAAAATGGATGTGGGGCCTTCTGGGAACTGCAGAAAGTGTTATCGACTGGAGATGGGTGATGTGGTACCCCCTCCCCTCCTGTTGACAAAGGCCTGTTCAATTTGGACCTTGACGGCTTTTTTGAGCCCTCTTTTCAAGCCAGCGGTCCAAAATATGGACTTTGCTGTCTTCAAAGAGCGGCCTTGGTCTTTTAAATGCAGATGGACTGTTGAATCTGAATAATAATGATGATGAATTCTGGGAGCTGAAGTCCACAAGTCTTACAAAGTTGCCAGGATTGGAGACCCCTGGCTTAAAGGGGCCACGCTTGGGAGACCTAGGTCTAAGATGGGGGGGGGTCTTCAAACTTGGTCCTTTTATGATTTGTGGATTTCAAGTCCCAGAATTCCTCAGCCAGCATGTCTGGCTGGCTGAGGAATTCTGGGAGTTGAAGTCCACACGTCATAAAGGTCAAATTTGAAGGCCCCTGTCTTAAATCTAACAAAATGGAGGCTGGCTGAGGAATTCTGGGAGTTGAAGTCCACAAGTCATAAAAGGGCCAAGTTTGAAGACCCCTGGTCTAAGAGATGGGAGCTGTCTACTCTGCCTATATTTTCAAGTGGCTTTTTTTTTTTTGTAAACTGGTTTCTGGAGCTGTGTTATGGCTCCATCCCATCTTTCCGATGGATTTTCAAAATGGCCTGTAGGTTGCACGCGCAACTTTCTTGCCCCTCGTGCGAGGAAACTTGAGAAGGTGATGGTTTTATGTTTTGTTTTTTTTAAAAAAAAAATGGGTTTGCCTCTTGCCCTCCCACCTCCATTCCAGTGGGTTGAGCCTCTTTCGCTCCCAGATCCTCAGAGCTGCGTGGACTTCTTGGGAAAAGTCAGCTGGTGGCCTTCTGTTTTTTTTTTTTTTAAGTGATTTTTATTCACTTATGAAACACAAAAGCAAAGAGTAAGGAACAACGGTAGGGGAAACAGAAAAAGGGAAGTGGGAAAGGGGAGAAAGAAAAAAAAAGACATCAACTTAAGGCATTGACTTAAATCTCAACTTTTTACATTTCTATGGTAATATAAACCTGCCATTTCTATATCAACAAACCAACCTCATCATTAAAACCCAAAATTGTAGTATCATTTTTTTTCCCTCACCTCGGGCACAAAGTCCAGAACCGGTTTCCAAGCAGGAACAAAAATACTTACATTCTTTTCTTTTTATCAAAACAGTCAATGTAGCCCTCTTTGCTAATTCCATCAGCTTTTGTAGCCGTTCGTCCATCATGGGAATCGAAACGTCCTTCCGTTTTTGTGCATCGAGAGTCTTGTTGCCATCACCCTATATAACAGTGTTTCTCAACCTTGACAATTTTAAGGCATGTGGACGTCAACTCCCAGAATTCCACAGCCAGCATTGCTGGCTGTGGAATTCTGGGAGTTGAAGTCCACATGCCTTAAAATTGTCAAGGTTGAGAAACACTGCTATATAAAATGAATTCCAAAAACATTTTCCAAGTATTTTTCCATTAGACCCAGAAGGAAAGTTTCTGGTTTCATCTTTATATTCACTTTATAAGAATTCTCTGCATTAAAATAGGAATCCTACTCAATAATAATAATAAATTAATAATAATAAAGTTGGAAGGGACCTTGGAGGTCATGTAGTCCCACCCCCTGCTCAGGCAGGAAACCCTATACCATTTTGGACAAATGGCCGTCCCGTCTCTTGTTAAAAACCTCCAGTGTTGGTGCATTCACCGCTTCTGGAGGCAGGTGGTTCCACTGGTTAATTGTTCTCACTGTCAGGAAGTTTCTCCTTAGTTCTAGGTTGCTTCTCTCCTTGGTCAGTTTCCATCCGTTGCTTCTTGTCCTTTGTGTGCTTTGGAGAACAGCTTGACTCCCTCTTCTTTGGGGCAGCCCCTGAGATATTGGAAGACTGCTCTCATGTCCCCCCTTGTCCTTCTCTTCATTAGACTGGACATACCCAATTCCAGCAACCGTTCCTTATATGTTTTAGCCTCCAGTCCCCTAATCATCTTTGTTGCTCTTCTCTGTACTCTTTCTAGAGTCTCAGCATCTTTTTTACATCGTGGTGACCAAAACTGGATGCAGCATTCCAAATGTGGCCTTACCAAGGCCTTGTAAAGTGATATTAACCCTTCACGTGATCTTGATTCTCTCCCTCTGTTAATGCAGCCTTGCACTGTGTTGGCTCTTTCGGCAGCTGCAGCACATGGCTGGCTTCTATCCACTATTTCTTTGCTTCATCACATGTCCACCATAAGGGATAAAGAAGTCCCTTCTTTCTCTTTCAGTTGCTGGCCTTTTGTTGAGTCAACAGGTGGGGCCACTGTGACATCACCAACTGTCCTGGAGGCTAGAACCTGGCCCACCTGTGTGGCCTTGTGGACTCCAGAATCTTGGGTTTGAGCCAGGAGAAGCCAGTGGTCTATTTGGATGGGAGATTATTTCTAGAGTAAGGAGTCTTCAGGCCTTGCTCGTTTTAACTGCTGGTCAAGTTGAGCTTTGCAAGGACAGAGCTTGAAAGCGTGAAGGCCATTCCAGCTTTCCAACCTTGCTGTGGAGAAAGCCTTCTCCCAAGTTGGTTGAGCAGGTAAGACGCTCTTCATGATCCTTGCTGCTCTCTTGAGGTTTCATGACCCAACTCTCAGAATAATAAGGGTGGAAGGTCTTCCAGTCCAGTCCAGCCCTCTGCTCAGGCAGGAGACGCTACATCCTTGGAGACAAATGGCTGTCCAATCTCTTCTTAAAAACTATGTACTAGAACAGGGGTCTTCAAACTGGGCCCCTTCATGACTGGTGGACTTCAACTCCCAGAATTCCTCAGCCAGCATGGGGAAACTATGGCCCCTTCATGACTTGCGGACTTCAACTCCCAGAATTCCTCAGCCAGCATGGGGAAACTATGGCCCCTTCATGACTTGCGGACTTCAACTCCCAGAATTCCTCAGCTAGCATGGGGAAACTAGGGCCCTTTCATGACTCGTGGACTTCAACTCCCAGAATTCCTCAGCCAGCATGGGGGAACTGTGGCCCCTTCATGACTTGAGGACTTCAACTCCCAGAATTCCTCAGCCAACATGGGGAAACTAGGGCCCCTTCATGACTGGTGGACTTCAACTCCCAGAATTCCTCAGCCAGCGTGGGGGAACTATGGCCCCTTCATGACTTGAGGACTTCAACTCCCAGAATTCCTCAGCCAGCATGGGGGAACTAGGGCCCCTTCATGACTGGTGGACTTCAACTCCCAGAATTCCTGAGCCAGCATGCCTGGCTGAGGAGTTCTGGGAGTTGAAGTCCACAAGTCATAAAAGAGCCAAGCCTGAAGACCCTTGTACTAAAAGGAGGAGGAGGAGGAGCAGGGGTGAGGTCCCTGGCTGGTGGTTTTCTTGCAGACGTTTCATGACCCAACTAGGTAAGATCACCAGTGCTAAAGCTCTAAAAGGATGTCCTTTGTCGCTTGAGAAGAAAAGGGAAGATAAAGCCATATTTGGAAGGGGAATTCTGGGAGTTGAAGTCCACAGGCCTTCAAGTGGGCTGATTGGTGAATGATGGTTCTTGAAACTGAGTTTGTTAAGCAGGTGGGGTGAACAACTGAATTTTCTTTCCCCCCCGCCACCCCCAGAAACAGCCCCCGGCACGTTAGAAGCCCCCGGATGCTCGAACAATCTTCGTCTTCCAGCAAATTCAAGATGTCCAACATAGGAAACGAGAGCAGCATAAGCTGCTACCCCAGGCATGCTGGTAAATGGGGGGTCTTTGAGGGTGGGTCAGGGGGGAGGACATAGTATTCCACAGAAAGGAAATCTTTTTGGGGGAACTCAGGTTACCATTAGCCCCAATAAATCTTAACCCCCGCGCATTATTAGCAGTGTTTCTCAACCTTGACAATTTTAAGGCATGTGGACTTCAACTCCCAGAATTCCACAGCCAGCATTGCTGGCTGTGGAATTCTGGGAGTTGAAGTCCACATGCCTTAAAATTGTCAAGGTTGAGAAACACTGCGAGTACAGAGGGTGACGCTTATGCATAACCCATTGGAAATGATCCACGAGCTGTCACTTTAATGATTTTGTCAGATCTTTATCCAAGATGTTTAGAATGGGGTTTCTCAACTTGGGACGGGTGGACTTTGACTCCCAGAATTCCCCAGCCAACAGGGCTTGGCTGGAGAATTCTGGGAGTCGAAGTCCACTCGTCTTAAAGGGGCAAAGATGTAGAAACAATGGTTGAACTGAAGCTGGAAATCAGAGAATGGTTTGTCTGGAAACACACACCCCCAGACCCCCAACGCGCACGTGCGCACACACACACACACACACAAAACACACAGAGACAATATGATGTGATGAGCACCACTCACAGATAGTTTAGTGAAATCCTGCACTGACCAACATTTTATAATGATGATGATGATGATGATGGAAGGGACCTTGGAGGTCATCTAGTCCAACCCCCTCCTCAGGCAGGAAACCCTATCTAGTTGATAGAAGAGAATATTGGTAGCTCAGGGTTGAACTGTGGAGTCCTTGATGCTCTCTGAGCTGGGTGGTTTTCTTGCAGACGTTTCATGACCCAACTAGGCATCATTATCAGTGCTAGAAGGGAGGGGGGGGTTGTGGAGAGGAGGAGGAGGAGGCGGAGGAGGAGGAGGAGGAGGAAAAAAACTGTGGGGTCCTTGGTGCTCTCTGGGTGGTTTTCTTGCAGACGTTTCATGACCCAACTAGGCAACATCATCAGTGCTAGAAGGGAATGGGGTTTGCAGGAAGGAGGAGGAGGAGGAGGAGGAGGAGGAGAAAAAGGACTGTGGAGTCCTTGGTACTTTCTGAGCTTGGTGATTTTCTGGCAAACATTTCATGACTCAACTAGGTAACATCATCAGTGCAGGAAGGGTTTCTGGAGAGGAGGAGGAGGAGGAGGAGGAGGAGGAGGAGGAGGAGGACAACGACAACAACAACAACAATGACTGAGGGGTCCTTGGTGCTCTCTGAGCTTGGCTGTTTCTTTGCAGACATGACATGACCCAACCACCTAACATCATCAATCCTAGACGGGAGATGGGTTTCTAGCATGGATGATGTTACCTAGTTGGGTCATGAAACATCTGCAAGAAAACCACCAAGCTCAGAGAGCACCAAGGACCCCTCAAATCTAGTTTGCACTCAGGAGTCCTTCAGTGCTATCCAGACAGGTCAAAGATTAAATCTGAAACTTGCTGCTAACATAGTATGGACCTCATCCTGCAGAAGAACATCAGCACTACCGATGGTGGATCTCAAGAGCTTTCGTTTTCCCTGAATGGAGATGTAGTTCTGTCACTAGAGATGTTGGGGGTCTTCAATCGGGGACCACCCAAAGGTTTTCCATTACCGTGTGCCACCAAGTTTTTGTTTTCATTGATGTGGCGGAGAGGTGTCACCAAGGTTGAGTCAACGCACTGCCAAAACCTCTGTTCTAGATTCACCAAGTTCCACTTCTTCGCAAGCAAGTTTTAGTTCTGCGGATTCGGAGATCCACATAAAAGAGGCCGTGGGCCGTATCCGTACTTTCCTCCATGAAAAATATCAGGTATAACTTTCTCTTCTTTTCCCTGGACTGTTTCAAGGAAGCTCTTAGGGGGCTGGACTAGAAGACCTCCAAGTTCCCGTCCAGCAATATTCTATTCTGTTCTATTCTATTCTATTCTATTCTATTCTATTCTATATTCTATTCTATATTTATTCTATATTCTATTCTATTCAATATTCTATTCGATATTTTATTCTATATTCTTTTCTATTCTATTCAATATTCTATTTGATATTCTATATTCTATTCTGTTCAATTCTATATTCTATATTTATTCTATGTTCTATTCTATTCTATATTTTATTCTGTATCAGTGGTTCTCAACCTGTGGGTTGGGACCCCATTTGGGGTCGAACAACCATTTCACGGGGGTCGCCAAACAACGCAGTCCGCCATTTCCCCCCCCCCCCCTTTTCCTTAGTTGTGCTACTCCCTTTTATTCTATTGGCTTTTGAAAGCCAATAGAATAGACTCTCTTGAATATTGGCTTTCTATTGGCTTTCAAAAGCCAATAGGAATTGTCCAGGCTGTCTCTGCCCTGCTGAGCCCGCCAAAAGTCCCATTCTGCAAATGGTGCTGCACCAGTTGAGTAGTCCTCAACTTACGACCAGTTGAGTAGTCCTCGACTTACGACCAGCATTAAAAAGGTTGAGAACCACTGGTCTATATTCTATTCTATTCTATTCAATATTTTATATTCTATTCTATTCTATATTCTATATTCTATTCTGTTCAATTCTATATTCTATTCTATATTCTATTCTATTCTATATTTTATTCTATATTCTATTCTATTCAGTATTCTATTCTATATTTTATTTCTATTCTATTCTATTCTATTCAATATTCTATTTGATATTCTATATTCTATTCTATTCAATATTCTATTCTATATTCTATTCTATTTTATTCTATATTCTATTCTATTCTATATTTTATTCTATATTCTATTCTATTCTATTCAATATTCTATATTCTGTTCTATTCTATTCTATTCCTTTCTTATTCTATTCTATTCTATTCTATTCTATTCTATTCTATTCTATTCTATTCTATTCTATTCTATTCCTTTCTTATTCTATTCTATTCTGTTCTGTTCTATTTTGTAATTCTATTCTATCCATATTTATCTATTCTATTCTATTCTATTCTATTCTATTCTATTCTATTCTATTCTATTCTATTCCTTTTCTCTATTCTATTCTCAGGCTCTTTAAATCACAATCTTGTCAACCTTAAGATGCTTGGACTTTAACTCCCAGAATTCCCTGGTCAGCCTTGCTAACTGAGGAATTCTGGGAGTTGAAGTCCACGCATCTTAAGGTTGAGAAGCACTTACAAAGTTCGACTTGCAGAGTTCATTTAGTAACTATTTGAATTTACAACAGCACTGAAAAAAGGGGCTTAGGACCATTTTTCACATGTACGGCCATTTCAGGGTCACGTGATCAAAATTCGGATGCTGGGCAATTGCTTCGTATTTACGACGGTCGCAGCGTCCGGGGGGGTGTTGCGTGTTCCCCCTTTTGCGGCCTTGCGACAAGCACAGTCAGTGGGTCAAGCCAGATTGGCTTGACTGTGTGACTCACAATGGATTCCCTTCACGACTGTGGCAAAATGGGGCAAACTTCACTTAACGACCGTCTCACTTAGCGACAGAAATTTTGGGCTCCACCAAGTCCCCTTTCCCCTGCTCCCATCAACACCCCTTCTGTTTTTCTTGCGGGACCAAAAAAGTATGTTTTGAACTTTATTTGAGGGGAGGTGTGGGGGGGGGGCGGTGTTCCTTAGGACGTGCCGGAGAAGTCCAAGTTCCTGGAATGTGTGGACCTGGTTACCGCCAATATGGAGACCGGGAAAGATGGCTTCTGGGAGGAGTACTACAACCCCATGTTGCTGAGGGACATCCTGAGGGTGAGTGACTTTGTCGCCCGCACAAAGACTGGAAGAAGGAAAATATTTTGGGAAAGAACCCTGGGAGGGGGGGACCCTCCCACAGCCCCCTGCAGTCTGAGCAGGCTTGTCTGGCTGTGCGAGGAAAAATGGTTGTGGGAACGCAACGAAACATCCAGGACAATTAGAGCAACGTTGGGCAGCCGGTCCCCCTCAGGATTCATACCTGCTTTGCGTTCCAATGAATGTCCTTCCTTCCTTGCTCCCTTTCTTTCTTTCCTCTCATTTCCTTCCTTCTTTCCTTCCTTCCTTCCTTTCTTCCTCCCTCTTTTCCTTCTTATCTTCCTGATTTCCTTCTTATCTTCCTTCTTTCTTCCTTCTTATCTTCCTTCCTTTTTTCATTCTTATCTTCCTTCCATTCCTCCCTTCCTTTTCATTCTCATCCTTCCTTCCTTTTTTCATTCTTACCTTCCTTCCTTTTTTCCTTTTTTTCATTCTTATCTTCCTTCCTTTTTTCATTCTTATCTTCCTTCCATTCCTCCCTGCCTTTTCATTCTCATCCTTCCTCCCTCTCTCCCTTGCTTCTTCCTTCCTTCCTTCCTTCCTGCCTTCCTTCCTTCCTTCATTCCTTCATTCCTATCTTCCTTCTTTCCTTATCTGCCTTCCTTCTTCTTTTCTTTCCATTCCTCCCTGCCTTTTCATTCTCATCTTCCTCTCTCCCTTCCTCCCTTCCTCCCTCCCTTCTTCCTTCCTTCTTTCCTTCCTTCCTTCCCTCTTTCCTTATCTTCCTTCCTTCTTATCTTCCTTCCTTTTTTCATTCTTATCTTCCTTCCTTTCCTTCCTTTTCATTCTCATCTTCCTCTCTCCCTTCCTCCCTTCCTCCCTCCCTTCTTCCTTCCTTCCTTCCTTCATTTTCCTTCCTTCATTTCCTTATCTTCCTTCCTTATCTTCCTTCCTTTTTTCCTTCTTATCTTCCTTCCTTTCCTTCCTTTTCATTCTCATCTTCCTCCCTCCCTCTCTCCCTCCCTCCTCATAGTTCCTTTCCCCAGGAATGACTTCCGCAAAGGCTGAAGAACGAGAACAAACCCTGTCCAGGATTGCTAAGATCATCAGCTGCATCAACAGACACTGCCTGGATAGAGAAGTAGTAATAATAATAATAATAATAATAATAATAATAATAATAATAATAATAATAATAAAGTTGGGAGGGACCTTGGAGGTCATCTAGTCCAACCCCTTGCTCAGTTTCTTCTTAAATAATAATAATAATAATAATAATAATAATAATAATAAAGTTGGGAGGGGCAGGAAACCCTATACCATTTCGGACAAATGGCTGTCCAGTTTCTTCAATAATAATAATAATAATAATAATAATAATAATAATAATAAAGTTGGAAGGGGCCTCAGAGGTCATCGAGTCCAGCCCCCTGCTCAGGCAGGAAACCCTATACCATTTCGGACAAATGGCTGTCCAGTCTCTTCTTAAAGACTTCCAGGGTTGGAGCGTGAATGGCTTCTTCCAAACCCTTGCTCAATGTCAGAATCCAGGTTTCAGCATTGGGGGGGGGGGGGGAAGCAAAGGGGCGCCACTAGACTTCAACTCCCAGAATTCCCCAGCCAGACAAAATTTTAAAAACCCAGAAAAACGTCTTTGCGTAAAGACTGCTTTTTCCCGTCTACAAGGCTAAAGAACGGCGACGCATCTCCCACAAAGGGGCATCCGCTATAATTGTGTTTATTAAATACACAAATGAAATAACACACACACACTGTTCTATTCCCACCTTCCCCCACCGCTCCAGGGCTTGAAGGCCATCAAGCTGGGGAAGGTGGCCGGGGGGCTGATCCTGTCTTGCAGCGACCCCAACGAGAAGGTCTCCTGCTGGGCAGCCGATGGACTCCACCGCCTCTACGCCCTGATGGTGCACCAAAAAGGTAAGGGAAGCATGGGATCTGGGGTAGGTGGGCAACTATCGTCCGGTGCGTCTATTAAAAAAAAAAAAACACCTTTTTGTACAGCAATCCTATTTTTTGGGGGTGGGAAATAAAGGACAGAGCTGGGGGAAGGGGCAACTCCAAAAGGGGTTTCCAAGAATAAAGAAAAAAATTGAATTGTTCCTCTTTGTAGCTTTGTTCTTAGAAATGTACCAGTAAAAGAGAATATTCGTAGCTCGGGGGGCCCTTGGCGTTCGGTCAGCTTGGCGGTTTTCTTGCAAGCGTTTCATTATCCGATGAGGAGGCATCATCCCTGCAAACGCTGCTCCTTCCTACCGCTTGATGCCGTTCCCTATTTGGGTCATGAAACGCCTGCAAGAAAACCACCCAGCTCAGGGAGCAAGGAGGACCCCTCCGTTTAAAGACCACCAAGGATCCCACATTGCTTCTCCTCCTCCTCCTCCTCCTCCTCCTCCTCCTCCTCCTCCTCCTCCTCCTCCTCCTCCTCCTCCCACACCACCAGCACTGAGGATGCTACCTAGTTTGGTAAAAAAAATGTCTGCAAGAAAACCACCAAGCTTAGAGAGCACCAAGGACCCCACAGTGCTTCCCCTCTTCTTCTTCCTCCTCCTCCTCCTCCTCCTCCTCCTCCTCCTCCTCCTCCTCCTCCTCCTGCTCCTGCTCCTGCTCCTCCTCCTCCTCCTCCTCCTCCTCCTCCCCCTTCGAGTACTGATTATGTTACCTAGTTGGGTAACATCATATGCAAGAAAATAACCTCAGAGTGCACGAAGGACCCCACAGTGCTTTCCTTCCTCCTCCTCCTCCTCCTCCTCCTCCTCCTCCTCCTCCCCCCCCCAATTTTGATCTCTGGGATCATGGGATGCTGCACTATGAAAAGCAACCAGCTCCCTTTTTCCAGTTCCGTTATAACTTTCAAACCGTCCCTAAACTCATTGTTGTAAGTCGAGGGCTATCTGTCCCTTTCGGGGGAGGAGCTCTGTCGCAACTTTGAAAGGTTGCTAGGTGACCCGTCGTAAATCGAGGACTGCCGGTATGCGGAAAGCAAGAATGACCCCCTGCTCCCTAATTGTTTGTGCCTTTCCTGAGGTCTGACGAAAGCGGAAGATAATCAGGAATATTTAGACCTTCTGCGGGAATGGGAAGAAGAGAAGATTTTCTGGCTGGCCTGGTTTTCGGATGTCAGCATGGCGGCTACGGTAATTTCCTGTCCCCTCCGAATCAGAGTTCCCCAAAGTTTACGGGGTGATAACCCGGAGGAGTGGGGGGGGGAGGAGGGGATGGTTTCGTGGGAAGGGGCAGGTGCGTGTGTGTGCACAAGCACCCGTCGCTCGCATGAGTGAGGCCGAAAGCACCCATGACACTTGTGTAATTGGGGTCCCGAGCACTCACGACCCTCACAGGAGTGGGGCCCTGAACACCCATGGTGCTCGCACAAGGGGGACCCCAAGCACCTGCAAAACCTGTGCAATTGGGGCCCCCCGTACCCACGACCGTCGCATGCGTGGGGCCCTGAATGTGCGTGACGCTTGCACGAGTGGGATCCCAAGCACCTGCGACACTCACACAATTGGGGTCCTGAGCGCTCACTACCCTCACAGGAGTGGGACCCTGAACACCCATGATGCTCACACGACGGGGACCCCAAGCAACTGCGACACTCACACAATTGGGGCCCCGAGCACCCACGATCCTCACATAAGTGGGGCCCTGAATGCCCATGACGCTCGCGCGAGGGGGACTTCAAGCACCTGCGACACTTGTGCAATTGGGGTCCTGAGCACCCATGACCCTTGCAAGAGTGGGGCCCTGAACACCCATGATGTTCGCGCGATGGGGACCCCAAGCACCTGTGACACTTATGCAACTGGGGCAGCGAGCACTCATGCCCCTCGCATAAGTGGGCCCTGAACACCCATGATGCTTGTGCGAGGGGGACCCCAAGCACCTGCGACACTTGTGCAATTGGGGCCCTGAGCACCCACAATCCTTGCATAAGTGGGGCCTGAACGCCTGTGATGCTCGCGCGAGGGGAACCCCAAGCACCTGTGACACGCAATTGGAGCCCCAAGTGTCCCCGACATTCTTGCGAATGCGGCCCCACACCAGCCAACAACTCGCATGGCCCAGTTGGGAATCGGTCATGGACCAGTAATGAGCTACATTCCACAGGTTGGGGACACCTGCTGAACGCTTCTGGTTGCCCAGAGAACTGATTTGCCCGCTGCATTTTGTGCGTAACCTTTGTCCTGTTTCCAGATATTCAAAAAATACCTGCGTGCAGACGATCAAATGGCGCTAATTCTGACTGCCCTCCAAGGCACGAGGGACGACAGTATCCACAGCACTAAAGCTGCCGTCCGCATGCTGAAAGCCATGCTGAGGGAGCCCAGATCCAATTTTGTGAAGGTAAAGGGTTGCTTGTCAAACCGGTCCTCGCCCTTACGACCGCCAAAGGTCACGTGATCAAAATTCGGGCACTTGGCCACCGGGATCACCCGATTGGCATTTGCCACCTTCCCAGCCGGCTTCGGACGAGCGGAATAAACGAAAGAAGCTGGATTTGCTTAACGACCACAGGATTCGCTTAATGACTGCAATGATTTGCTTAACGACCCAAGGGGAAAAATAGGTCGTAAAATAGGTTAGTAAGCTTTGCTTGCTAACAGAAAATTCTGGTCCCAATTGACGTCGCCCATCCACACGAGCTTAGCCAATCTCTGTCTGGGATCTGTATTTTGGGACTGTTTAAGGCAGTGCTTCTCAACGTTTGTGTGACGGCGACCCCTTCACACAAACGTTCTGCGCATGCGCCGGGCCGCGCGCATGCACAGCGGCGCCCCCATGCGCGATGCGCATGCGCGACGCCCCACCACGAGCGGCACGTGTGTACGGCGCCACCCTATGTGCAACACGCATGCGCGGCGCTCCCCCATGCGCGGCATGCGTGCATGGTGCCGCCCCCATGCGCGGCGCGCGTGCACGGCACCGTGAAAAATGGCGGATCGCCGCCTTTGGCGACCCCCCAAAAATGGGCGATCGACCCCAAATGGGGTCGCGACCCATAGGTTGAGAACCGCTGGTTTAAGGCCTCAATTTACGACCATTCGTTTAGTGACCGTTTGAAATTACGTCACTGAAAAAAGGGACTAACAACCGTTTTTCACACTTAACGACCATTGCGGCATGCCCACGGTCACGTGATCAAAACTCGGACGCTCGACCACTGACTCGTATTTATGACGGTCGCAGCGTCCCCCGGGGTCCTCTGATCCCCTTTTGCGAACTTCTGCCAAACAAAGTCAATGAGGGAAGAAACCAGATTCACTTAACAACGTGTTACTAATTTACCATCTGCGGCGATTCACTTAACAACGGTGGCAAAAAAGTCGTAAAATGGGGCAAGAGAAATGTTGGGCACGGTCATGGTCGTAGGTTGAGGACTACCTGTCTTACGCAGAGACACCACCAAGGGGCTATCCTCTTTTCCCAGGTGCCAAAGACGGTCAGATTAATGCATTCCTCCTTGGAACAAATCACGGATCCTTTGGCCCGCCACGAATTCTTCCGGTTTCTCCGGCTGATCGGCAGCAGCCATCCCGAAGAAGTTGTGAGAACCCTCCTCAGTTGCTCCCTGCAGTGTGACTGGTAAGTCCAAAGGCAGTGCCTGATGGGTCTTGGCTGGGAGCCCATCCCTTGACCCCTGGAGATTCACCTTCCCACCAGGTCATATTCCTCCCATGGCTTGTCGGGGTTAAAGATTTAAGGCAGTGTTTCTCCACCTTGGCCGCTTGAAGATGGACGGATTTCAGCTCCAAGATTTCCTCATCCAGCATGATGCCAATTTGAAGATGGACGGATTTCAGCTCCAAGAATTCCTCATCCAGCCTGGCAGCCACTTGAAGATGGATGGATTGCAACTCCCAGAATTCCTCATCCAGCATGATGTCAGTTTGAAGATGGATGCACTTCAACTCCCAGAATTCCTCAGCCAGCCTGCCAGCCACTTGAAGATGGATGCACTTCAACTCCCAGAATTCCTCAGCCAGCATGGTGCCAACTTGAAGATGGATGGATTTCAGCTCTCAGAATTGTGGGAATTGAAGTCCACTCAACTTCAAGTAGCCAAGGTGGAGAAACATTGATGTTGACGAAAGAGTCCTGTTTGGCCACCATGAACTAAAACCTCATCATGAATGCAGACCCCCCAACAGATTTGTAATGAGCCCCACCGTCTGACAGCCCCCTTTTCTCCACTTGCAGCAGTGCCTCGGCTATGTGGCATTCCCTGGTATCCTTCTCCAGCAGCGCCTGCAAGATCCTCAGTGTCCTGCAGGATATTGTCCAACAGCAGCCCTTCCGCCTGGACTGTCCTCGGACAAAGCCCGCCGTCACTCCGTTGGCTGTAGGGATCAAATCCGGCCAGGCTGGGGGTGTGGAGGGCTCCTTTTTGGTCTGGAAGATTGCCTTCAGAAGATCTGTCAGAAATGGTGTAGTAGTGTCTCCTGCTTGGGTGGGGGGTTGGACTAGATGACCTCCAAGGTCCCTTTCAACTCTGTTTATTCTATTCTGTTTTGTTCCCTTCTGTTCTCCTCTTCCTCCTGCTCCTTTTCCTCCTTCGGCTTCTTCTCTCCTCCTCCTTTTGCTTCTTCTCCTCCTGCTTCCCCTCCTCCTCCTCCTCCTCCTGATTCTTCTTCTCCTCCTTCTCCTGCTTCTTTTTCTGTTCTTCCTGCTTCTCCTCCTGCTTCTCCTCCTCCTGCTTCCCCTCTTCTTCTGCTTCTGCTTCTGTTTCTTCTCCTCTCTCCTCCTCCTCCTCCTCCTCCTCCTCCTCCTCCTCCTCCTCCTCTTCTTCTTCTTCTTCTTCTTCTTCTTCTTCTTCTTCTTCTTCTTCTCCTTCTCTCCTCCTCCTCCTCCTTCTCCTGCTTCTTCTCCTGGTTCCCTTCCTTCTCCTTCTCCTACTTCTTCTCTCCTCCTCCTCCTCCTGCTCTTCCTGCTTCTCCTGCTTCTCCTCCTCCTCTCTCCCTCCTCCTCCTCCTCCTCCTCCTCCTCCTCCTCTCCCTACCCTTCTTCTTCTTCTTCTCTTCTTCTTCTTCTTCTTTTTCTTCTTCTTCTTCTTCTTCTTCTTCTTCTTCTTCTTCTTCTTCTTCTTCTCCTTCTCTCCTCCTCCTCCTCCTTCTCCTGCTTCTTCTCCTGGTTCCCTTCCTTCTCCTTCTCCTACTTCTTCTCTCCTCCTCCTCCTCCTGCTCCTGCTTCTCCTGCTTCCCCTCCTCCTCCTCCTCCTCCTCCTCCTCCTCCTCTTCTTCTTCTTCTTCTTCTTCTTCTTCTTCTTCTTCTTCTTCTTCTTCTTCTTTTTCTTCTTTTTCTTCTTCTTCTCCTCCTCCTCCTTCTCCTCCTCCTGTTCCCTGCCTCCTCCTCCTTCTCTGCTGCTTCTCCTGCTTCCCCTCCTCCTTCTCCTCCCATCTGGTTCTTTGGGGTCTTCTTCCCTGTGTGCTACACCTGTTGAGATGCCACCTGGATTTCCCTCCACCTCAGCTTCGCTTCTCTTCCTTCAGGCCACGGCTGCTCTTAAGGAGATCTTGAGGCGCCCTCCTCCAGCCTGCAAAGACGCCCTGAAATCTATGTACCCCACGCTCTGCATCGCCCTGCTCTGCCAGATCTCCTACACGGTGCAGATCAAACCTCAGGAGATCGACCTGTACTGGAGGACCTCCATGCAGGAGAAAACCCCCACCCCTCCTGTCCCTTTGAGGTCTCTTTTGTTCTGCTCCCTTCTTCCTGTGTGTGTGTGTGTGAATTTGCAGAGGATGGGGGACCCTGGCATAAGCAAAGCATATTGTATATATATATATATATCCCCATGTCGGAATCCCTCTTTCCAACAGGATGGCAGGCCCCAAAGAATGGTTATTGAAGCATGTATAGGTTAGGACAAATAGTAATACATTTCTTTGGGGATCTGACACGCTGACCGGTGTTCCTCTACTTGTAGGGCAGCTCTAACCACCTTACAGACCCTCATCCGACGTGTGAGCAGTGGGGACCAAGCCCTGATCATGAATAAGCGGAGAGGATCTGAGCTACTGTGCCATCTGGCCACCCAGCAGAAGGGACTGACGGTCTTTGCCAAGTAAGCCTTCAACTTTTGATTCCTAATGAGAATGAGGAAGAAGTCCTAGTGGACAGTCCTTTAAATAGGAGCCAGCCGTGGATGGCAGCTGCCAAAGACGCCAACACAGTGCTGGGCTGCATTAACAGAGGGATAGAATCAAGATCACGTAAAGTATTAATACTACTTTACAAGGCCTTGGTAAGGCCACACTTGGAATATGGCATCCAGTTTTGGTCACCATGATGTAAAACAGATGTTGAGACTCTAGAACAGTGGTTCTCAATCTTTCTAATGCCGCGACCCCATAATACAGTTCCCCATGCTGTGGTGACCCCCAACCACTTATATATCACCAGGTGCCAGGGGCGTGGCCAAAGAAAAGGGGGAAAAAATGGCGGACAGCCTTGTTTGGCGACCCCCATGAAATGGTCGTTCGACCCCAAATGGGGTCCCGACCCACAGGTTGAGAACCACTGCTCTAGAAAGAGTACAGAGAAGAGCAACAAAGATGATTAGGGGACTGGAGGCTAAAACATAAAAGGAACGATTGCTGGAATTAGGTATGTCTAGTTTAATGAAGAGAAGGACGAGGGGGGACAGGATAGCAGCCTTCCAGTATCTCAGGGGCTGCCCCAAAGAAGAGGGAGTCAAGCTATTCTCCAAAGCGCCTGAAGGCAGGACAAGAAGCAACGGATGAAAACTAATCAAGGAGAGAAGCAACCTGGAACTAAGGAGAAACTTCCTGACATTTAGAACAATTAACCAGTGGAACAACCTGCCTCCAGAAGCGGTGAATGTCCAACACTGGAAGTTTTTTAAGAAGAGACTGGACAGCCATTTGTCCGAAATGGTGTAGGGTTCCTGCCTGAGCAGGGGGTTGGACTCAGTGACCTCTAAGGTCCCTTCCAACTTTTATTATTATTATTATTATTATTATTATTATTATTATTATTATTATTATTAACCATCGTAAATATGAATCAGTTACCAAGCATCTCAATTTTGATCACATGAACACGGGGACGCCGCAACGTTTGTGGGTGTGAAAAAATAGTCCTCAGTCACTTGTCTTCAGTGTCGTCGTAACTCCGAACAGTCACTAAACGGACGGTGGTAAGTCGGGCACTACCTGTGGTGATGTGGTAGGATTGAAGTTCTAGGACTGAAGTTCTGAGCTGTGTGATGCCCAGCCCGTGTTCCCCCCCCTGGATGCTTCACTTCCTTGTAGCCCATGTTTCTCTCTCCCTACCACAGAGCGCTCGTACGCAACGAGGGGTGTGAACACATGCTGCCCTACATTATGACGATTTTGGACAGCAAGGAAGACACCGTGCATACAATCGTGATGACATTTTTGGTGGAGGTAAGGGTTAGGGTTTGGCTGGAGGAGAAGTTTGGTTCTGGCTGAATGTCGGTCCTGCCTTAGCTTGAATCTTTAATCAAGAACGGTCCTTGACTCCATTTGTTGAGAAAGAACAATCAAGTGAAAGACAGGAATGCAAAGGCAGAACTGAGGTGTCCCAAAGCTGCTTTTTCAGGGGGCAACTGGACTTTCTTGTTTTTCCTTTGAAGACGTTTAGCTTCTCATCCCAGAAGCTTCTTCACTTCTGATTAGATCAGTGGTTCTCAACCTTTTTAATGCTGCGACCCCACAACCGGTCGTAAGTCGAGGACTACTCAACCGGTCGTAAGTCGAGGACTACTCAACCGGTCGTAAGTCGAGGACTACTCAACTGGTGCAGCACCGTTTGCAGAATGGGACTTTTGGTGGGCTCAGCAGGGCAGAGACAGCCTAGACAATTCCTATTGGCTTTTGAAAGCCAATAGAATTAGACTCTATTCAAGAGAGTCTATTCTATTGGCTTTCAAAAGCCAACAGAATAAAAGGGAGTAGCACAGCTAAGGAAAAGGGGGGAAAAATGGCGGACTGCGTTGTTTGGCGACCCCCGTGAAATGGTCGTTCGACCCCAAATTTGCCTTCTTTTAGAGCAGGGGGCGTCAAACTCAATTTCATCGAGGTTGCCCTCGGGGGAGGGGCGGGTGTGTGTGGCCAGGGTGGGTACGGCCTACTGGGTGGGCGTAGATGGAGTGGGTGTGGCCAGCTCTACATCATTCGCGTCAAGGGTGACTGCGGGGGTCTGGGCAGGAGTGGGACAGATCTGAGGGTCTCTGGCAGAAAGGGGTGGGACCAGGGCAGAGCCCATCATGCCGGATATGTAAAGTAAGAGGGCCATTTGCTGGCCACTTCCAAGCGATGGTGCATTTCTTCATTCCTCACAAAGGATGACACCTGCCCAGCATGCACCCAGGGGGCAGGGCCAATGCGGCAGGGGCTGGTTCCTCGCTGTTTCCAGACGGCCTTGTGGAGCTAAGACTGAATGGGTTTCAGCATAGATGGCCACCACAAAATTGTACACTGGCTCCCGGCCGGCCTGGGCCAGGGCCAAGGCAGTGGGGGCCGTTCCCTCACTGTTTGCAGGACGGCTTTGTGGGCCACATGAAAACCACTTTGCGGGCCGCATCCGGCCCCTGGGCCTTGTGTTTGACATGTCTGGTATAGGGTCTCCTGCTTAAGCAGGGGGTTGGACTAGAAGACCTCCAAGGTCCCTTCCAGTTCTATTCTATTCTATTCTATTCTATTCTATTCTATTCTATTCTATTCTATTCTATTCTATTCTATTCTATTCCTTTTCTCTATTCTATTCTATTCCTTTTCTCTATTCCAGTGGTTCTCAACCTGTGGGTCGGGACCCCATTTGGGGTCGAACGACCATTTCATGGGGGTCGCCAAACAACACAGTCCGCCATTTTTCCCCCTTTTCCTTAGCTGGGCTACTCCCTTTTATTCTATTGGCTTTTGAAAGCCAATAGAATAGACTCTCTTGAATAGAGTCTAATTCTATTGGCTTTCAAAGCCAATAGGAATTGTCCAGGCTGTCTCTGCCCTGCTGAGCCCGCCAAAAGTCCCATTCTGCAAACGGTGCTGCACTAGTTGAGTAGTCCTCGACTTACGACCGGTTGAGTAGTCCTCGACTTACGACCGGTTGGGGGTCGCGGCATTAAAATGGTTGAGAACCACTGCTCTATTCTATTCTGTTATTCTGTTAAAGCTTTAGAAAGGGCATCACCGGGTTTTGATCCCGCGTCCTTGCCTTCAAAACCTTGGAAAAACGGGCTGGGTCAGCTTTGCTTTTCCTATGTCAGCTTCTTCAGCAGAAGACCTTTGATGCGACTCTTGAAGAAGTTCTCATCCAGTATCTCCGGAAGCAGCTGAACGCAAGCCAATTCCAGCTCCGATCTCTGGCCCTGGATGGCCTGCTCTCCCTCAGCACTCATCCAGAGAAGGTGTGGTAGAATGCCGTCTGGATTCCCAGGAGGGAGGGGCAGCATTCCAGAGGACAAGAGGCAGCGCAGTCTAGATAACGTATGAGAATGAAGCTGAGGACAGCTCCTCCCTAACAGTTCCCATAATCTATGTTTAACGATGCAAGTTTCTGCATGCCCCAGGGACACTGCAACCGTCATAAATATGAGTCGGTTACCAAGTATCTGAATTTTAATCATATGACCCGGGAGACGTTGTAATGGTTGTAACTGTGAAAAACAGCCCTTCGTCGCTTTTTTCAGTGCCGTTGTAACTCTGAACAAACTGAATGAACGGCTGTAAGTCAAGGACTACCTCTAGTTAATTCCAAAATCGTACAGGGCTAGTCGAGGTTCCAAATCCGCTCGATAACTTTCTTAAATCAAAATCTTATTTTGGCCTCTTGCTGTTTATTTCAAATTCTTTCCAGTTCTGAAGCTTGTAATGAATTATTCTTCTATTCAAAGTTGAAGGTGAACTCACCCGAGGGAGGTTTTTCAAACTTGTTCGTTCTGAAGGTCTCTAATAGCTTCCAAAAGGGCTAATAGGCCATTTTGGAAAGTAATTAGAATGTGAGGCTTGCAAACTTTGAAAGACTTTGCCACGTTTGTGAACCAGAGGGCTGATCCCGTCATCTTTCAGTGCTCCGATCTGTGGAAAATACTGTCCCATCATCAGTTCATGAGGAATAGCTGTCCGGAGCATTTGTGGGCAATCTCCCGTTCTCTCCTTATCCAGAGAGGTTCTAAGACAGTGGTTCTCAACCTGTGGGTCGGGACCCCATTTGGGGTCGAACGACCATTTCACGGGGGTTGCCAAACAATGCAGTCCGCCATTTTTTTCCCCTTTTCCTTAGCTGTGCTCCTCCCTTTTATTCTATCGGCTTTTGAAAGCCAATAGAATAGACTCTCTTGAATAGCGTCTACTTCTATTGGCTTTCAAAAGCCAATAGGAATTGTCCAGGCTGTCTCTGCCCTGCTGAGCCCGCCAAAAGTCCCATTCTGCAAACGGTGCTGCACCAGTTGAGTAATCCTCGACTTACGACCGGTTGAGTAGTCCTCAACTTACGACCGATTGGGGGTCGCGGCATTAAAAAGGTTGAGAACAACTGTTCTAAGGAGTCAGTCTTTTCCTGCTTCCTTGATTTATGCTCCAATCTTTTTCAAAGCCAACTTCAATCCACTCTCCCTTCCCCAAAAGTTTCCTATATTTTTTGTAAGGGTCGGTAGCTGTAGGTACTTGACATACAAAATTTGATGGACGTGAAACTTGCACGCCCCTCAAATATTGAGGGGCTCAGTACAGATCGTCGTCAACGTACGACCACAGTTGAGCTCAAAATTTATGTTGCTAAGCGATAAAGTAAATTAGGGGGGAGTCCATCTGAACCCTGGTGTCTGTCTTGACCCGTCTCGTTAGCTGGCAGATTCCTGACTCAGCCATTTTCCGCCCTCCAGGTGATAAAACTGGTGCCCGCCTTGCCAGACATCTTGGCCAGGTTAAAAGATGTGAATCGAAAAATCAACGTAAAGGCTCTCAAACTTCTTCCAGGCCTCCTGAAGAACTTGAGCAATGAGGAAGCGTACTTTGTCACTCTGGACGTGGCTATTAGAATCCTCCCTCTTTTCGATGACGTAAGTTGGACCAACGACTGAACATCTCCTCCTACCAAAGGGTGCAGGATTTGGGGCTAAAGGGGAAAATGGACTTCCTTTGGGTGGTCCAGATTCCTGCTTTTTTCCCAGTATAATCCTTGGATGCGGGAACTTCAAAATATCTCCTTAGAATAGAATAGAATAGAATAGAATAGAATAGAATAGAATAGAATAGAATAGAATAGAATAGAATAGAATAGAATAGGAAATAAGAAATAGGAAATAGGAAATAGAATAGAATATAGAATAGAATAGAATAGGAAATAGAATAGAATAGAATAGAGAACAGAACAGAACAGAACAGAAGGAATGAAGAATAGAATAGAATAGAATAGAATAGAATAGAATAGAATAGAATAGAATAGAATAGAATAGAGAAAAGGAATAGAATAGAGTAGAATAGAATAAAGGAATAGAATAGAATAGAGAAAAGGAATAGAATAGAATAGAATAGAATAGAATAGAATAGAATAGAATAGAATAGAATAGAATAGAATAGGAAATAAGAAATAGGAAATAGGAAATAGAATAGAATAGAATAGAGAACAGAACAGAACAGAACAGAACAGAAGGAATGAAGAATAGAATAGAATAGAATAGAATAGAATAGAATAGAATAGAATAGAATAGAATAGAGAAAAGGAATAGAATAGAATAGAATAGAATAGAATGGAATAGAATGGAATAGGAAATAGAATAGAATAGAATAGAATAGAATAGAATAGAATAGAATAGAATAGAGCTGGAAGGGACCTTGGAGGTCTTCTAGTCCAGCCTCCCGCTCAAGCAGGAGAACCTATACCATCTCAGACAAGTGACTGTCTAAGCTAGCCTCTTCTTAAAAACCTCCCATAAGCCTTATACGGACCACTTGGTGGATTCACAAAACGTGTTTACCCAGGTCCAGCAGAGACCAAGAAAGCACATCCACACCACATACCAGGCAGTCCTTGACTTACGAACACAATGGTGCCCAAAATTTCTGTTGCTAAGTGAGATAGTTGTTAAGTGAGTTTGATGACCCATTTTACGACCTTTCCTGCCACATTTCTGAAGTGATTCGCTACGGCTGATAAGTTAGTAACTCGGCCGTTAAGTGGCTTCCCCACAGACTTTTATTTTTATTTATTTATTTTAGCAAATCTATCTTGCTGCTGTGGCGACTCCAGGTGGCTTACACGGATATAAAGACACCATATAAAAGAAGTTAAAAAAAATCAGAAAAAGTATAATAAAATAATCTAATTTTTGAATAAATATATATGTATATTAAATAATAATAGGATATAATCAAATAATAACCCCCCCCCACTCTCTTTTCATTTTGCTTGTGAAAAGGTCGCCAAAAGGGGATCATGTGCCCGCACGGGACGCTGCCACCGTTGTAAATATGAACCCGTTGCTAAGTGGATGAATTTGGATCCCGTGATCGTGGCGATGCTGCAAAGGTCATAACTTTGAGAAGCGGTCGTAAGTCACCTTTTTCAGTGCCGTCGTAACTTCGAACGGTCACTAAACAAATTGTCGTAAGTCGAGGATTATCTGTGCTGTCATTAGTGTCTTGGTTAGTTGGTGCGTGCCTTTTGGGGGTTGTGATACAAAGCCAGTGTTGGTTTGTGGTTCCGTATATTGTGTAAACCCAGAGGAGGGTTAATTCAGGACAGGCAGAAAACAAAACCCAAGTTGTTAAGTGAATCGCTGCAGTTTTTAAGTTAGCAATAAGGTCATTAAGTGGAATCTGGATACCCCCATGGACTTTACTTGCCAAAAGGACAGCTACAATTAAATAAATCAGGTCACAGCTTTGGCATAACCCCCCCCCCTTGCTATAATTTGTAAAAGTACAAGATGTTTTTAAAAATGACCTTTGCAATGGTTGATTTACTCCCTGGAGTGGTTAAAGTTTAACAGAGAGAAATTAGCTATGGTTTCAGTGGGGGGGGGGGAATAAAACCCTGAAACGTTATTTATGGACCTCAGCAATCCTGCCAAATTTTAGATCAAAGGTCTTGCAGACCTTGGCACTTCGAACAACATGGCGACTTTCTGAATTAGAGTCCTGGTTTTCATGGTTCCAACAGATGAAACTCTTCAGAAGAAATTCGAGGCATTGTTTACCTTAAAGAATCTTTATTTTGAGTAGCATAACATCGGCACTTACATAATTGAAGCCAAAAACTGAATTCCCCTCCCCTGGGCGCATAGTATCCAAACACAATTCCCTCCTTCAATTAACCATCATAAATCACATTCCCCAATTAGCTTGAAATGCAGGCTTCCTATCCAGTTCTCCAGCCCTGCCAATTCCTTATCAGCTCTGGTTGCAATAACCTTGATTCTCACGCTAGGTTTAGTGTTGTTATGTCTAGCTGGACTCTCTCGTTCACATCCCCCCCTTTCCCAGCATCATCTAACTCTAAAAGCAAAAGGTAAAAGATGGCTCCATTTCCATCTGTTGTCAATGCAAAAACATCCAATGTTAGCAGCATTGACACCTGGACTTACGACCCACCCGATTAGTGACCGTTTGAAATTGGGCTGCTGAACAAAGGAATTTAATAACCGATTTTCACATTTACAACCGTTTTTCATATTTAAGGCTGTTTTTTACACCTACGGCCGTTTTTCACCCTTACGACCGTTGCAACATCCCCGCGGTCACGCGATCAAAACTCAGACATTTGGGAACTGACTCTTATTTGTGACGGTGGCACAGCGTCCCAGGAGTCCCGTGGTCCCCTTTTGCAACCTTTTGACAAGCAAAATCCATGCGGGAAGCCAGATTCCACTTAACGACCTTATTGCTGACTTAACAACTTCAGTGACTCACTTAACAACTTGGGTTTTGTGTTCTGCCTGTTCTGAATTAAGCTTCCCTCTGGGTTTACACAATATACGGAACCACAAACTAATGCTGGCTTTGTATCCTACCCCCCCCCCCAACAAAGGCACACAAAACTCAACAAGCGCCTTGTCACTTGATACAGGTGGGCCACTACTTGTGGTCGTAAGTCGAGGATCACGCGTAACACGGTTTTCCTCTTCCAATATCTCGGAGGGAGAAGTTGAATTGCATTTGACTTTTACGCTAGGTTTGTAGATATCTTCAGTTTCCAATAGTTTTCCGCTTGCAGGAACGCCCGAGTGGTTGTAAGATTAAGACAGGAAGTCCTCGATTTACAACAGTTCATTTAGGGACTGTTCAAAGTTACCACTTCACTGAAAAAAGGGACTTTTTTTCACACTTACGACCGTTGCAGCCTCCCTCGTGGTCAAATGATCAGAATTCAGATGCTTGGCAACTGACTCGTGTTTGTGACGGTCACAGCATCCTGGGGTCACGTGACCCCTTCTGACAATAGGAGAGCCAGATTCATTTAACAGCTGCGTTACTAATTGAACAACCGCCGTGCTTCACTTAAGAACCCTGGCAAGGAAGGCTGCAAAAGGGGGCAAAACTCACTTAATGACCGTCTCGCTTGGCAACGGGAATTGTGGTCGTACGTCGAGGACCGCCTGGGCTGACTTCTTTGCTTCGACAGGCTTCCAACAAAGTGAGGCTAGCCACAGTGTCCACCTTCTCCACCCTCTTTGACCTGGTCAAGAGGAGAAGCAAGGATCAGATGAGGGACGTTGCCATCCAGAGCTTGGTGCCGCTGATGGTCCACCTGCAGGACGAAAGCCTCCTGGTCTCCCAGGTAGGACCAGGAGAGCGCAAACCGGGTTTTAAGAAACAGACCTTCTTTGCTGGTTCCTTGGCTGCACCCGTCTTTTAATCTCGTAGCATCTTGTAGCAATTAGCAAAACCTACCCGGTGCTGAGGTCTTCGACTTAGGACTGCAATTGAGACCGGAATTTTGGGTTGTCAAGGATCTCATAGCCATCTTTGTCCTCCTCCTCCTCCTCCTTTTCGTCGTCATCGTCGTCCTCCTTCTCCTCCTTTTCGTCCTCCTCCTCCTCCTCCTCCTCCTCCTCCTCCTCCTCCTCCTCCTCCTCCTCCTCTTCTTCTTCTTCTTCTTCTTCTTCTTCTTCTTCTTCTTCTTCTTTTCTCTTCCTCCTCCTCCTCCTCCTTTTCCTCCTCCTCCTCCTTCTTCTCCTCCTTTTCCTCCTCTATGCAAACCCCACTCTACTTCTAGCATTGATGATGTTACACAGAGGGGTCATGAAATGTCTGCAAGAAAAGCACCAAGGACCCAACACTACTCCTCCTCCTCCTCCTCCTCCTCCTCCTCCTCCTCTTCTTCTCTCTCTTCTTCAACTCCACTCCTCCTCCCCTTCTTCCTCCTCCTCCTCTCCTCCTCCTCCTCCTCCTCCTCTCCTCCTCCTCCCTTCTTCTTCTCTTCTTCTTCTTCTTCTTTCTCTTCTTCTCTTCTTCTTCCTCCCCCCTTTCCTCCTCCTCCTCTTCTTCTTTTTCCTCCTCCTCCTCCTTCTCCTCCTCATCCTCCTCCTCCTCCTCCTCTTCTCTTCTTCTTCTTCTTCTTCTTCTCTTTCTTCTTCTTCTCTTCTCTTCTTCTCCTTCCCTTTTCCTCCTCCTCCTCCTCTTCTTCTTTTCCTCTCCTCCTCCTCCCTCCTCCTCCTCCTTCTTCTTCTTCTCTTCTCTTCTTCTTTTCTTCTTCTTCTTCTTTCTCTCCCTTTTCCTCCTCCTCCTCCTCCTTCTTCTTTTCCTTCTCCTCCTCCTCCTTCTCCTCCTCCTCCTCCTCCTCCTCCTCCTCCTCCTTCTCCTTTTCCTTCTCCTCTTCCTCAGGGGTCCCCAACCTCCAGTCCATAGACCAATACCAGGCGGCGGCATGCCATCAACTGGTCCACACAAACAAGCAAAGCCCCATCCACAGGATGCAATCAGCACACAAAACCACACACTCTCTGATCCGTCGAAAAAATTTTTCTCCACGGGATCAGTCCCCGGTACGCAAAAGGTTGGGGACCTCTGGACTAGATGACCTTCAAGGTCCCTTCCAACTCTTGTTATTCTGATTCCGACTTGCCCAATCTATTCACGAACAAAAGGCCTCCCGCCACAGAAGGGTGGGGTTGATGGGATTAAGGATTTACATTCCCCCACCCACCCAAATTCTAAGGACGGGACATGACCTTTAGGACATAATAGGATTTTCCCAGCACCACTAGAATAGCAAAAAAAAAAAAAAAAAAAAAAACCCACAAGACTTACTACATTGCACAACCCCCTGGAGCATCTCAATCAGAACCTTAGAAAGATCCATCCACTCTCCACTCCATTTTGTTGGCGGTCTGTTGCTGGTTCTGCTCCTCAATAAACAGAAACCTCCTAAGCAACCTCCATTTTATTTTTCTCCCGGCTTGGAACTGGTTCTGTTGCTGGTTCTGTTCCTCAATAAACAGAAACCTCCTTTCCTAAGCAGCCTCCATTTTATTTTTCTCCCGGCTTGGAACTGGTTCTGTTGCTGGTTCTGCTCCTCAATAAACAGAAACCTCCTTTCCTAAGCAGCCTCCATTTTATTTTTCTCCCAGCTTGGAACTGGTTCTGTTGCTGGTTCTGCTCCTCAATAAACAGAAACCTCCTTTCCTAAGCAGCCTCCATTTTATTTTTCTCCCGGCTTGGAACTGGTTCTGTTGCTGGTTCTGCTCCTCAATAACAGAAACCTCCTTTCCTAAGCAGCCTCCATTTTATTTTTCTCCCGGCTTGGAACTGGTTCTGTTGCTGGTTCTGCTCCTCAATAAACAGAAACCTCCTTTCTTAAGCAGCCTCCATTTTATTTTTCTCCCGGCTTGGAACTGGTTCTGTTGCTGGTTCTGCTCCTCAATAAACAGAAACCTCCTTTCCTAAGCAACCTCCATTTTATTTTTCTCCCGGCTTGGAACTGGTTCTGTTGCTGGTTCTGCTCCTCAATAAACAGAAACCTCCTTTCCTAAGCAGCCTCCATTTTATTTTTCTCCCGGCTTGGAACTGGTTCTGTTGCTGGTTCTGCTCCTCAATAAACAGAAACCTCCTTTCCTAAGCAGCCTCCATTTTATTTTTCTCCTGGCTTGGAACTGGTTCTGTTGCTGGTTCTGCTCCTCAATAAACAGAAAGCTCCTTTCCTAAGCAGCCTCCATTTTATTTTTCTCCCGGCTTGGAACTGGTTCTGTTGCTGGTTCTGCTCCTCAATAAACAGAAACCTCCTTTCCTAAGGAACCTCCATTTTATTTTTCTCCCGGCTTGGAACTGGACCTGATTTTTATGCCAACACCCAAACTCAGACTGTGATTCCTTCCTTCTACAGGCGTGCTGGGTGGCGCTAAGGAGAATCGATAAGTTTTTGAAGTCTTTCCTTCAGTTTTCCATCACTGAAAGTGACCCCTGGAATTATTGCACGTGGTTGGTAAGTAAATCTGCTTAGCAGCTGTAGCTAGGCAGTAGCCGGGCCCCAAGAACCGACAACGACATAGGGAGTTACTTCAGAGTACAGGTAGTCCTCGACTTAACGGCCGCAGTAGACTCAGAATTTCCACTGATAAACAAGATAGTTGTTAAGTGAGGCATGCTCCCATTTTACGACCTTTTGGCCCTGGCTGTTCATCGAATCGCTGATGTTGCTAAGGGAATCATGCAGTGGTTAAGCAAATCTGGCGTTCCCCAGTGATTGTGTTTGTGTTAAACTCCCTAAGAAGATTGCAGATCTTGAAGACATGTCGGTTGCCAAGCACACAATGTTTGATCACATGACTGCAGGGAATGCTGCAACAGTCATAAGTGTGAAAACTGGTCATAAATCTTTTGAACTCCTATGAACCCCTCATGATCCAAATCCACTGGCTGAGGAATTCTGGAAGTCCACAAGCAGGGATCTTCAAACTTGGCCCCTTCATGATTCGTGGACTTCAACTCCCAGAATTCCTCAGCAAGCGTGCCTGGCTGAGGAATTCTGGGAGTTGAAGTCCATAAGTCATAAAAAGGCCATGTTTGAAGACCCCTGCTTTAAATGGTCATTAAAGAAACAGAACTGTAAGGGACCTTGGAGGTCTTCTAGTCCAGCCCCCTGCTCAAGCAGGAGAACCTATACTGTTTTATATAAGTGACTGTCCAGTCTCTTCTTAAAAACCTCCAGTGATGAAGTGCCCACGATTTCTGGTGGCATGCTGTTCCACTGGTTGGTTATCCTCACTGTGAGGAAGTTTCTCCTTAATTCCAGGTTGCTTCTCGCTTCATTTAGTTTATATACCCACTCCATACATCTACCTACATATAAATATTAATCATTGTCCATTCCTAGTATCTATGTTTGTATGTATGTATGGGTAGATATATACTTTCTTTCAAGAGCAGGCAACAGAATTTCATTTCAAGCAGGTTCTCCTGCTTGAGCAGGGGGCTGGACTAGAAGACCTCCAAGGTCCCTTCCAGCTCTATTCTATTCTATTCTATTCTATTCTATTCTATTCTATTCTATTCTATTCTATTCTATTTTCTATTATTTTCTGTTATTTTCTATTTTCTATTCTATTCTATTCTATTCTATTTTCTATTATTTTCTATTTACGATTATTTTCTATTTCTATTTTATTCTATTTTCTATTATTTTCTATTTTTTATTATTTTCTATTGTCTATTTTCTATTCTATTCTATTTTCTATTATTTTCTATTTACTATTATTTTCTATTTTCTATTCTATTCTATTCTATTCTATTCTATTCTATTCTATTCTATTCTATTCTATTCTATTCTGTTGTGGGCCACTGTACTCATAGTAAAAAAAATGACAATAAAGGTCATTATCAAACTGAATAACTGAATGACAGAATAACAGAACAGCAGAGTTGGAAGGGACCTTGGAGGTCATCTAGTCCAACCCTCTGCTCCAGCAGGAAACCCTATACCATTTCAGACAAATGCTTGTCCAATCTCTTCTTTAAAACCTCCAGTTTTGGAGAAGAAATCCCATCGCTCACAACCTCTTCTCCTTTTGAATTGGCTTGCTAGTTGAGACGGTACCGGGATGAAGGAGAAAGCATCTTCATGGACCAAGCATTTGCTTTCCTGGATAACCCCCGGCCATCTCTGCAGGAGGCCGCCATCAAACTCTTAGGTAAGCATGAGGGTTATTGGGAGGGCCCCCATCCACCAGCGCTGTACCCCAAGAGAAAATTAACAATCAGGAGCATTGTGAGTGGAGGCCCGACAGAGAGACAGGGAGAGCCTTCCCTTGTTTGATTTGAGCAAGGTAAGTATTGGTCTACATCCTCGGGGCAGCCATTTTGTGACAGTGCCCATTGGCGCTGAAGGGTTGCTGACCCTAGTTTAATCTAACCTGGAAGAAACCCAGCAATTTTTTTTTTTTATTTTCTGAACTGTTTAAAGAAGTGCTTGCTAATTCGCCAATATTACGTGTGGACTTCAACTCCCAGAAATCCCTCAGGTAGATGCTGGCTGAGGAACTCTGGAAGTTGAAGTCCACACATTCTGACTGAAGAATTCTGGGAGTTGAAGTCCACACATTCTGACTGAGGAACTCTGGGAGTTGAAGTTCACACCTGCTGGCTAAGGAATTCTGGGAGTTGAAGTCCACACCTGCTGGCTAAAGAATTCTGGGAGTTGTCCATGCATTCTGACTGAGGAACTCTGGGAGTTGAAGTCCACACATTCTGACTGAGGAACTTTGGGAGTTGAAGTCCACACCTGCTGTCTAAGGAATTCTGGGAGTTGAAGTCCACACATTCTGACTGAGGAATTCTGGGAGTTGAAATCCACGCATTCTGACTGAGGAATTCTGGGAATTGAAGTGCACACTGCTGGCTAAGGAATTCTGGGAATTGGTCCACACATTCTGACTGAAGAATTCTGGGAGTTGAAGTCCACACAGTCTGAGTGAGGAATTCTGGGAATTGGTCCACACATTCTGACTGAGGAATTCTGGGAGTTGAAGTCCACACAGTCTGAGTGAGGAATTCTGGGAATTGGTCCACACATTCTGACTGAGGAATTCTGGGAGTTGAAGCCCACACATTCTGACTGTGGGAGTTGAAGTCCTCACATGCTGACTGAGGAACTCTGGGAGTTAAAGTCCACACGTCGTAAAGTTGCTTAGGGTGGAGCAACGTGGGTCTAATGTCTCCCTTAGTTTCATAAACTTGGGTTGGCATTCACACAGTGACAGGTCTTCGTGGCCAGCAATGTCCTGGGTGTTTCTTTTCCAGAAATCATTGCCCAGGAGACAAACCACAAATCAACGGTCAACGCCATCACTACAGGTGAGTAAAAAGATAACAAGGACGAGGTTGTCCACTGCTGCTTTGTGGGGTTATTGTTTTGGGGTTTTTTTCCTGACTCCTTTCTGAAGATGAGCGGATGGGAGGCCAAGAGGGGACTTTATGGCTGACCTGTCACTTTGGATGATGTCCTGGGAATTCCTGATTAGCCTTTGGAGATCAGCTGACGTCAGTTAGGTGACAGCATCTTTCGAGGTGTTGGTGAATAGCGGTAGTATTGAAATGCGTCTTCTTCATGGATATTAATGATACACCTTTTCCTCTTGTTCCTCTTTCTCTTCTTCTTTTTCTTCTCTTCCTCCTCCTTCTCTTTCTCCTTCTTTCCCCTTCTCCTTCTCTTTGCTCTTCTTCTTTTCCTCCTCCTTCCCTTCTCTTTCCCCTTCTCCTCCCTCCTCTCCTTCTTTCCCTTTCCCCTCCTCCTCCTACTCATTCTCCTCCTTCTCCTTCTCTTTCCCCTTCTCCTCCTCCCTCCTTCTTCTCCTTTCCCCTTCTCCTTCTCTTTGCTCTTCTCTTCCTCCTCCTCCTCCTTCCCTTCTCTTTCCTCTTCTCCTCCTCCCTCCTTCTCTCCCTTTCCCCTCCTCTTCCTACTCTTTCTCCTCCTCCTTCCCTTCTCTTTCCCCTTCTCCTCCCTCCTTCTTCTCCTTTCCCCTTCTCCTTCTCTTTGCTCTTCTTCTCTTCCTTCTCCTCCTTCCCTTCTCTTTCCCCTTCTCCTCCTCCCTCCTTCTCCTTTCCCCTTCTCCTTCTCCTTCTCTTCACTCTTCTTCCTCTTCTTCTTCCCTTCTCTTTCCCCTCCTCCTTCTCCTTCTTTCCCCTTCTCCTTCTTTCTTCTTCTCTTCCTCCTCCTTCCCTTCTTTCCCTTTCCTCTGCTCCTCCTCTTTCTCCTCCTCCTTCTCCTTCTTTCCCCTTCTCCTTCTCCTCTTTGCTCTTCTTCTCTTCCTCCTCCTCCTTCCCTTTTCTTTCCCCTTCTTCTCCCTCCTTCTCCTTCTTTCCCTTTCCCCTCCTCCTCCTACTCTTTCTCCTCCTTCTCTTTTCTTCTCCTCCCTCCTTCTCCTTCTTTCCCCTTCTCCTCCTGTTTCTCCTCCTCCTTCTTTCCCCTTCTCCTCCTCTTTCTCCTCCTCCTCCTTCTTTCCCCTTCTCCTCCTGTTTCTCCTCCTCCTCCTTCTTTCCCCTTCTCCTCCTCCTCTTTCTCCTCCTCCTCCTTCCCTTCTCTTTCCCCTTCTCCTCCCTCCTTCTTCTCCTTTCCCCTTCTCCTTCTCTTTGCTCTTTTTCTCTTCCTTCTCCTCCTTCCCTTTTCTTTCCCCTTCTCCTCCTCCCTCCTTCTCCTTTCCCCTTCTCCTTCTCTTCACTCTTCTTCCTCTTCTTCTTCCCTTCTCTTTCCCCTCCTCCTTCTCCTTCTTTCCCCTTCTCCTTCTTTCTTCTTCTCTTCCTCCTCCTTCCCTTCTTTCCCTTTCTTCTGCTCCTTCTCCTTCTCCTTTCCCCTTCTCCTTCTCCTCTTTGCTCTTCTTCTCTTCCTCCTTTCCTTTTCTTTCCCCTTCTCCTCCCTCCTTCTCCTTCTTTCCCTTTCCCTTCCTCCTCCTACTCTTTCTCCTCCTTCTCCTTCTTTCCCCTTCTCCTCCTCTTTCTCCTCCTTCTCCTTCTTTCCCCTTCTCCTCCTCCCTCCTTTCCCCTTCTCCTTCTCTTCGCTCTTCTTCTCTTCCTCCTCCTTCCCTTCTTTCCCCTCCTTCTCCTTCTTTCCCCTTCCCCTTCTCTTTCTCCTTCTCCTTCTTTCCCCTTCTCCTCTTCCTCCTCCTTCTCCTTCTCCTTCTTTCCCCTTCCCCTTCTCTTTTCCCTTCTCCTCCTTCCCTTTCTTCCCCCCTTTTTCCTCCTCCTCCTTTCTCCCCCCACCATTTCTCCTCCTTCTCCTCTTCCCTCTCTTTCCTCCCCTCCTAGTGCTGAATCTCCTGACCTTGGAAAAAAAGCCTTCCAACGTTTTCTTGGTGGCTTCCGAGATCATGGAGAATGCCACTTTTCACGAATCTCCTTCCGACACCCTCCTGGAGAGGTGGTTTCACCGAATAACCATAATCTGCAGAAGATGAACATCTTCTCTCAGGGAAAGAGAGGACAGGTAACACGCCCTTCCCCAAAATGAAGGGAAAGGACACCCAGAGGACACTTGAACTCTTCAGAGACTTGTATTTCAAGACCCAAATTCACAGGTATTCCCTTGAAATACCTGAGAATTCTTTTCACACCCATCCAATGCAACTGCGTGGGTGCAGCAGTAAAGCGACTTAAGATGCTTACTGGACCACTGTGCAGCTGCCAAAAAAGCCAATACAGTGCTCGATTGCATCAACAGAGGGAGAGAATCAAGATCCCGTGAAGTCTTAATACCACTTTACAAGGCCTTGGTAAGGCCACACTTGGAATACGGCATCCAGTTTTGGTCACCATGGTGTAAAAAAGATGCTGAGACTCTAGAAAGAGTACAGAGAAGAACAACAAAGATGATCAAGGGACTGGAGGCTAAAAGATACAAGGTATGGTTGCGAGAATTGGGTATGTCTGGTTTAATGAAGGGAAGGACCAGGGGGGACATGATAGCCATGCTCCAGTATCTCAGGGGCTGCCCCAAAGAAGAGGGAGTCAAGCTATTCTCCAAAGCGCCTGAAGGCAGGACAAGAAGCAACGGATGGAAATTCAGCAAGGAGAGAAGCAACCTGGAACTAAGGAGAAACTTCCTGACAGTCAGAACAATTAACCAGTGGAACAACCTGCCTCCAGAAGCGGTGAATGCTCCAACACTGGAAGTCTTTAAGAAGAGACTGGACAGCCATTTGTCTGAAATGGTATAGGGTTTCCTGCCTGAGCAGGGGGTTGGACTAGATGACCTCCAAGGTCCCTTCCAACTTTATTATTATTATTATTATTATTAATTAATTATTATTATTACTATTAATTATGGATCATCGCACAGTCAGCCAGATGTTCAGACTGGATTTGGCATTTTGTCTACCTATCGAGTCCTTACCCAGGACCTGGGATAGGCAGATGTGGATGTTTGATGGCATTACAGATATCGTCGCAGGATGGAAGCAGTTCCTAGTAAGGCCGCCTTTTGCCATTGACTAATAGCGAATTTGTCAATGCCAATTGTGTTCAAGTGGTGCTCCAGTTGTTTTGGGATTGCACCCAAGGAGCCTATGACTATTGGTACTACCCTTGCTTGCCTTTGCCCCAGTCTTTCTATTTCTATTTATAGGTCTTTGTATTTTGTGATCTTCTCCAGTTCTTTCTCATCTATTCTGCTGTCTCCAGGCACTGCCACGTCCACTATCCAGACTTTTTTGTCTTTCTTATCGACATTATTATGATTATGATTATGATTATTATATAACAGGCTTCCTATTGCTGACTGATATATCTCTTGATCACAGGTACCGTGTGCAAGGGCTGGCTGGCTGGAATCTGGGTCCATAACCTATTAGAGTTTTCAGCTTACCTAGCGCAAAATAAGCCCCCAAATTAAGCACAAAAATTCCGTATGTGGTAACATTACAGAATAGAATAACAGAGGCGTTGGAAGGGACCTTGGAGGTCTTCTAGTCCAGCCCCCTGCTCAGGCAGGAAACCCTATATGCCATTCTGGACAAATGGCTGTCCAGTCTCTTCTTGAAAACCTCCGGTGATGGAGCACCCACAACTTCTGGTGGCAAGCTGTTCCACTGGTTAATTGTTCTCACTGTCAGGAAATTTCTCCTTGATTCTAGGTCGGCTCTTGGTTGGATGGATCAGACCCAAAATCACTGGAGGTTTTCAAGAAGAGACTGGACAACCATTTGTTTAGAATGATATTGGGTCTCTTGCCCGAGGTGGGGTTGGACTAGAAGACCTCTGAGGCCCCTTCCAACTATTATACAATATCCAGTCCAAGGATGTGTCCTTCAAAGTCGCTTCTTTTCCACTTCTAAATCCAAATAGCTGGCTTCACCCATCTGGCAGATGTTTCTATTTTTTGCACCACCCAAGTGTCTTCTGCTGTCCTTCATCAAGGGTCTCATTCAGTCTTTCTTAGGCTGAAGCCAGAATAACAGAGTTGGAAGGGAGCTTGTAAGGTCATCTAGTCCAGCCCCCCCCCACCCAAGAAGGAGACCCTACACCATTTCTGACAGATGGCAGTCCATTCTTGAAAGCTTCCAGCGATGAAGCTCCCACAGCTTCTGAAGGTGACTTCTATTCCACTGATTGATTTGTTCTCGCTGTCCGGAAACTTCTCCTTATTTCTAGGTTGCTTCTCTCCTTGATCAGTTTCCATCCGTTGCTTCTCGTCCTGCCTTCAGGCGCCTTGGAGAATAGCTTGACTCCCTCTTCTTTGGGGCAGCCCCTGAGATATTGGAACACTGCTATCATGTCCCCCCTCGTCCTTCTCTTCATTGAACTAGACATACCCAATTCCAGCAACCGTTCCTTGTATGTTTTAGCCTCCAGTCCCCTGATCATCTTTGTGGCTGTTCTCTGCACTTTTTCTAGAGTCTCGACATCTTTTTTATAGCGTGGCGACCAAACCTGGTTGCAGTGTTCTAGGTGTGGTCTTACTAAGGCTTTATAAAGTGGTTTTACTACTTTGTATTCTGTCTTACGCAGGAAAGGCTGCTAGATTCTGCTTGAGATCGACAGATAACTCAGTGGAATAAGTCAAACAAAGATTACTTTTATTCCAGGTGTCCTCAAAACACTAACTCACGGTTATGTAGAAGTTCTTCCAGAATGTAGGTAGTGATATGGACTCATTTCACAGGTAAATGAACAATGGATTTTTCCCTCTTCTGCGTATCCTTACATGTTGTTGGAAATCTCAGCCCAGCCACAGGGCTAGAACTCATGCCGGCAAGTTGAAAACACCTTGACATGTAACAGGATGTGTGGTCATAAACACAAGCTCCTCCCACTGACTAGATAAACTATAGCAGTGGTGGCGAACCTATGGCACGGCTGCCAGAGGTGGCACTCTGAGCCTTCTCTGTGGGCATGTGTGCCATCGCCCCAGTCCTAGGCCTTCAGCTGGGTTTTATAAAACCTTTTCACTTTAGGCCTCCGCTGCCATGTGCAAAAAAAAAAAAAAAAGGTTCAATCAATCAGTCAATTTCAATTTCTCGCGGGGAAAAAAAAGATCTTGCAAAGTTGGAACTGATTGATTGAACTTTTTAGTCCCACCCACTGCAGCCACGCCCAGCCAATGGGCCACACCCAGCCAATGGGCCACACCCAGCCAATGGGCCACACCCACCCTGCACTCGACGATGCCTAAGTGGGTTTTGGGTTGCAGATTGGGCATTCAGTCTCTAAAAGGTTCACCATCACTGAACTATAGGATTAACTGACTGCTAAAACTATATTGCCCATAAGCCACCTCTTAAGGAAACAGCGTTTAACCCTTTAAATGCTAAACTTTCTAACATACAGTTCCTAAGCTAACTGGCTGGTCCAGCCCACCTTGCGTGAATCCCTCTGTTAATGCAACTTAGCCTTGCATTGGCTTTTTTGGCTGCTGTTGGCTCATGTTTGATTGATTGTCCACTAAGACTCCAAGATCCCTCTCGGTTACTCCTATTAAGCCTGGTGTCAACGCTGCTAACATTGGATGTTTTTGCTTTGACAACAGATGGAGATGCAACCATTTTCTTCTTACCCTTTTACTCTTAGAGTTAGAATTAGGAGAGGCTGGGGGGGGGAGGAATGTGCAAGAGAGTTTAGCTAGACATAACATTACTGGACCTAGTGTGAGAACCAAGGTTATTGAAATAAGAGATGATAAGAATTGGCGGGCTGGAGAACTGGAGGGGAAGCCTGCATTTCAAACTAATTGGAGAATGTGATTTATGACTGTGAATTGGAGGAGGGAATGGTGCTTTGATACTATGTGCTCAGGGGAGGCGAATCCAGTTTTTGGCTTCGATTATGTGTGGCCTTTTGGTTTTTCTTGCCTAAGTGGAAGACTTTACTTTTCTCTACGTTGAATTACTGATCCTTCTCGATCCCCTAAACCAGAGGTCCCCAACCTTTTGGGCACCAGAGACCGGTTCCATGGAGAGAGGTTTTTTCCACGACCGGAGGGTGTGTGGTTTTGTGTGCTGCCTGAATCCTGTGGATGGGGCTTTGCTTATTTGTGCATGCCATGGCCCGGGGTTGGGCCACAGAACCAGGGTTGGGGACCCCTGCCCTAAACATCTCCAATTTGGAGAAGCAAGACTTGATTCCTTGTTTTTCTCTCCAGTTGACCTTGAACCATGAATTCCACTAATGGCTGGATATTTTGAACCAAAGAAAAATTTCTCAGCGTGTTTCAAGTTGGTGGCCTCCATCTCTCCATTGTCCCGATCAGCAGAATCAAAGACACAGGTTGGAGAAGACAGTCGATAAGGATCTATACCAGTTGGATTCCTGTCGAGAATTTGGTCTCCTTCTCCTTCCACCCCCTCTATTCCTTAAAGTTCTTCAGCTTTGCTTTTCTCCTGGATGTCCCAGTGAGAGAATTTCAGAGTAAAACTGGCCCAGTCTGAAGGATTGGGATTCAATTTATTCTCCGTTTCTCCCTATAATTTTATTACGATTGGCATCTTGGTAATTCTCCAAATCAGAGGAGCAGAAAAACACCTTGCCGAGAGGGGAATCATCGCATTCATTTTTTGTAGCCCAATTTTCCCATCTTGCCTTCCTGAGTAGGAAGCCTACGGAATAACATGTCTCACGAAATAAAATCAGATTACAGTTGAAATGCACATTTTCCTCTTTCTGGCAATGTATGGCCATGTCACTTGAGCTAGCCTAGTGGTGGACATTAAAAAAAAATATAGGTGGCTTCCCTGGTTATTTTTTTTTTTATCCCCAAGAATGATCATTTACCAGGAGAACAAAATAAAGATCCTTATTTGATTTTTTTTGTTTGTTTGTTTGTTTGTATCCTGCCTTTGTGATTTTTGCCAAGAAGTCAAGGTGTCTTTAACGGATCACCCATTTGAATGGACCAAAACTCAGCGCCGAAAGAACATATGTAACGTCTGAGCATTTGTCACGTGACAAATTACAATTTGTGGCCATTTGTAATTGCAACGTAATTTGTAATGTATGCTTGTAGCATACTGTTCGAGCAGGGGGTTGGACTAGAAGACCTCCAAGGCCCCTTTCCAGTTCTATTCTATTCCGAATTCTGAATTAAACTCAGATTATGTGGCTTTATAGCCGAAGCAAAATTCCTTAGCCTTCAGAACGGATAGCCACGGTGATCAACAGATCCACAATGCCGCAATCAAGCTGTACTTCCTGGCTTGATTTTGCAATTTGCCACATTTAGGGGGCCTTTATCGTGGTTTGTTTGGCTTCTGCATCATTTAGGGATCAAACAGAGCATTGGAAGAATTATATTTCCCTGTTTGGGGGGATCCCATCAGCGTTTGCAGCAGACCAAGTGGGATAAATACAGTTAGAGAGAGGACAGAATTTAGTTGGAGGTGTTTTATTTAGCAAAGTCAACTAAGCTTGTCCAGAAGTGTTTGACGACTGACATCCAGTTTGGTTCCAGCATTAAAAAGGAGCGAAACGCAGAGAAAAGGCTGTTTGTGAATATTCTGGTGCGGAAATCCAGGATCTATGGCCAGTAAACGGGTGGAAGAAGATGAGGATCAACCTGCAAGGAAGGAAAAAGGCAACATCGGGAATAAAAGCAATAAAAGGAGATTAATGGGTTAACTGGGAAACTTTTGTTTGTCTGTTTGTTATCCCGCCTTTTATGATGTTTACAAACAACAAACAAGGCAGCGAACATATGCAACCCACCTTCCTCCTCCTGTTTTCCCTACAATGACCCTGTGAGGTGGGTTAGGATGTGAGAGAGAGAGGGGGGGACTGGCCCCCAAAGTCAGCCAGCTGGCTTTCATGCCTAAGGCAGGACAAGAACTCACTGTCTCCTGGCTACTGGCCCAAGGTCACCCAGCTGGGTTTTGTAACTGAGAAGGGACTAGAATTCCCCATCTCCTGGTGATTGGCCCAAAGTCACCCAGCTGACTTTCATGGTTAAGGCAGAACTAGAATTCCCCATCTCCTGGTGATTGGCTCAAAGTCACCCAGCTGGATTTCATGGCTAAGGCGGGACTAGAACTCACAATCTCTTTGGGTAATTGACCCAAAGTCACCCAACTATCTTTCTTAGCTAAGGCAGAACTAGAACTCCCCAAATCCGGGTGATTTGCCCAAAGTCACCCAGCCAGCTTTCATGGCTAAGGCGGAACTAGAACTTCCCATCTCCTGGTGATTGGCTCAAAGTCACCCAGCCAGCTTTCATGGCTAAGGCGGAACTAGAACTCCCCATCTCCTAATAATTGACGCAAAGTCACCTAGCCAGCTTTCATGGCTAAGGCGGAACTAGAACTCCCCATCTCCTGGTAATTGACCCAAAGGCACCCAAGTAGCTTTCATGGCTAAGGCGGAACTAGAACTCCCCATCTCCTGGTGATTGGCCCAAAGTCATCCAGCCAGCTTTCATGGCTAAGGCGGAACTAGAACTCACTGTTTCCTGCTTTCTAGCCTGATGCCTTAATAAAACCGATTGGTTCTATTTTGTTTCTCTTAGAGCAGTGGTCCCCAACCTTTCCATCTTGGATAGCCAGCCCGGCAAGGGGTGTGTGTGAGCATGTGAGTGGCAGGTGCCTGTGCGCCTTGCGCAAGTGGAGCTTCTACGACCCTGTCTTAGAGAAAGGTTTGCAATGTGGTGGATCAAAAGTTGAGCTGGCTTTTAAATGGAAGGCAGAGCCCAGGACCCCAAACTAGATCACGCCGGGCAGCAGAATGAAACGGGAAACAGGAGAAAGGAGAATTCCTTGATTAATTGGAGTAGCATGCATTTATCCTGGTTGCGGTGTTCCTCTGTGTGTGTGTGTGTGTGTGTATGTGTGTCACGCGATCCCCTTTTGCGATCTCCTGACAAGCAAAGTCAATGGGGAAGCTCGTGCAGAAAAGCCATCCAGGTGAAAAAGGGGTGGAGCTTGGATTATGCAGCCAGGGGCGGTCATCTTGACTTTTTTGACCTGCCTGGCCCTAGGGATGCCCCCTGCTTCTACTGCCATGAAAAGGCTCCTCCTCTGCTTGCCACCAGTCACTACTCACCCTGGATTGGTGGCTTGTATCCTTGGCAACCGATCCTGGGTCTCTTTTGATCGTACTTGTCACACAAGAGGGGATTCCCGGCCTGGTTACAGCACCAGTCATGCAATTTCAATTCTTCGTCTGGACACATCGATCCCATGAGAAAATAAGAACAAGCCAGGATAAGTTGGTTTGTTTTGGGGGTTTTGTAAATTAGCCCAGTACAGGTAGTTTTCAACTTACGCCGGTTCATTTAGTGTCCGTTCCAAGTAACAACAGCACTGGAAAAAATGACTTTTCACCGTTTTTCTCATTTACGACCGTTGCAGTCCTGTGATCTAAATTCAGTTGCTTGGCAACTGACTCGTATTTATGACGGCCGCACTGTCCCGGGGGGGTTCACGTGATCCCCTTTTGTGACCTTTTGACAAGCCAAGTCAACAGGGAAAAGCCAGATTCACTTTATAATCGTGTTACTTACTTAACAACGGCAGCAATTCACTTAACAACAGTGGCGAGACAGGTCGTAAAACGGGGCAAAGCTCACTTAAGCCACGGGAAATTTGGGCTCAATTGTCCTAAGGCGAGGACTACCTGTAACCAGGCTGAGGCTGCAGCAGGCACTGGTTCACCCATTCTGTGGAACATGGGTTGGTTTTAATCATGGTTTGCTGAACAAATCAGAGCCTCCTGCTTCCTTTGACACGCTAAGCTAGAAACATAGTTTACCAAACAAGATTCACAAATCATTTTCAATCATCCTGATTGTTTTTCTTCTGCCTGACAGTCTCTTGCAGGACCAGATATAAATCCTACATTGTTGGATGGATGTTTCGGATAGATGGCCTTTTGACCATCATGGCTACTACCTGGTGAGGTGATTATCTGCCCTTTCGTGGTGGAAACACCCAAAGAATAGGTTCACACAACAAGTTTACCCCGATCAGTTAAGTTGAGCAGCTGCATTTGCAAAATGCACAATGCCCACATAATGTTGGTTAGTTGTTACTAGGGCGGAAGGTTCTATGGACTGGTCCCATTTGATTGGCTGACTATAATGTGAATCCTTAGAACAGTGTTTCTCAACCTTGGAACATTAAGATGTATGGACTTCAACTCCCAGAATTCCTCAGTCAGAATGTGAGAACTTCAACTCCCACAATTCCTCGGCCAGAATGTGTGGATTTGAACTCCCAGAATTCCTCAGTCAGAATGTGAGAACTTCAACTCCCACAATTCCTCAGCCAGAATATGTGGACTTCAACTCCCAGAGTTCCTTAGTCAGAATGTGAGAACTTCAACTCCCACAATTCCTCAATCAGAATGTATGGACGTCAACTCCCAGAATTCCTTACCCAGCATTTGTGGACTTCAACTCCCAGAGTTCCTCAGAACATGTGGACTTCAACTCCCAGAATTCCTCAGCCAGCATCTACCTGGAGGAATTCTGGGAGTTGAAGTCCACACGTCTGAAGAGTTCCCAAGATGGAGAAATATTGTTGTAGAATGACCTATTCAGAACCCAGGTTACGGGTGTTGTATGAACGCCACCTTTGATCCCGTTCCCTCACTTATTTCAGCCATTTTCCCTTTTCTCCACCATTTTAAACTCAGGAGGAGGGTTAGAAAATCCCCACCCCGCACCCTCGTTGCTACTCACCGTTGTTGGGGGAATTTTTCCTTGAGTATTTCCAGATTCTCTCTTGCCGGCCTTCTTGGAGCTGGTCCTTTTTGTCGTAGAGACACCGGACGCCGGCCCTGTAACTGTTCGGACGGGACGAATACAGCAGGACTAAGTTCTGCCCCCCTGCAAAGATGGAAGGGGGTCATTCCAAACGCTCAGCTCTCCAGCTGTGGCTGCAATTCCTCAGAGGAAAAGCAGACCGGTTGTCTAAACCTGCTCTCTCCTGTGAGGTGAGCGTTCCTACACAATGTGGGGATTGCATCAAGGCTGCTCCAAAATTCAAAGGGTTGGTCATCCTCGCCCCGTTGAAATCCTACATTTTGTAAACAGAGAGCAAAGACTTTCTAGCCCTGGTGTTGTTACCTAGTTGGGCGGTGAAATGTCTGTAAGGAAAAAAACCCAGCTCAGAGAGCACCAAGGACAGTGCAACCGCCCTCCTTGTCTTCCCTCCTCCTCCTCTCCCCCCCTCCTCCTCCTCTCCTCCTCCTCTTCCTCTTCCTCTGCAAATCCTCTCCTTTCTAGCACTGATGACGTTACCTAGTTGGGTAATGAAACGTCTGCAGAAGACAACAAAACTCAGAGAACACTAAGGACTCCAAGCCCTTTTTCTCCTTCCCTCCCCATCCTCCCCTCTCCTCCTCCTCCTCCTCCTCCTCCTCCTCCTCCTCCTCCTCCTCCTCCTCCTCCTCCTCCTCCTCCTCCTCTCTGCAATCCTCACTCCCTTCTAGCACTGATGATGTTCCCTAGCTGGGTTATGAAACATCTGCAAGAAAACCACCCAGCTCAGAGAGCACCAAGGACCCCACAATCCTTTCTCTCTTTCTCTTTCTTTCTTTCTTTCTTTCTTTCTTTCTTTCTTTCTTTCTTTCTTTCTTTCTTTCTCTCTCTCTCTCTCTCTTTCTCTCTTTCTTTTTCTTTCTCTTCTCCTCCTCCTCCTCCTCAACCCCCCTCCGTTCAAGCACTGATGATGTTGCCTAGTTGGGTCATGAAATGTCTGCAAGAAAACCACCCAGCTCAGAGAGCACCAAGGATCCGACAATTCTTTCTTTCTTTCTTTCTTTCTTTCTTTCTTTCTTTCTTTCTTTCTTTCTTTCTTTCTTTCTTTCTTTTTCTCTTCTCCTCTTCCTCCTCTTCTCCGCAAACCCCCCTCCCTTCTAGCAATGATGATGTTCCCTAGCTGGATCACGAAACATCTGCAAGAAAACCACCCAGCTCAGAAAGCACCAAGGACCCCAAAATCCTAAAAAGCCCCGGGGAGGTCCATCATAACTTCAAATGGTGACTCAGGGACTGGTCATAAATTGAGAAATACCTGTAACAGACTAAATTGAAAGGTGGGTTTTGTTTTAAATTGTAAACAGCCTTTTTTTTTTTTTTGTCTACTAGATTATTTATCCGTTTTTTTTCTCCTTCTGTTTTTTTTTTAACTTTGTAGGCTAGCCCTCTTCTGGGTTTATTTGCATTTCCAAAATACAAAAAAGTGTTGTTTTTCTCTTTTAATTTGCTGAGCCAGTTTTTTCCCATGCTGTTCAATTTAATTTATGTTTTATGATTTCCATTTGTTTTTTTTTTCAATGTTTTCTTTTACAGATTGGTTTGTAATTCTAATTCTAATGAAAAACGAAGAAATAAAAAAAGACAATGAAAGAATAGTGTGAGACATTGTATATATCATACAATGTCTCACACTATTCTTTCATTATCTTTTTTTATTTCTTCATTTTTCATTTGAATTCGAATAGGAGAAATTTCAGGGGAGAAAACGGTTCAATCTATGGGGGAAAAAATAACTTACCCAAAATTTCAGAAAACTTTAAAACTAGGTTAAATGAAAGGTGGCTTCCAGTTCATCCAGAGGACGTAAACTGACTTAAATGCAGCTATCTGAGCGTTAGCATTTTCTCTGTGGGTCCAGCCGTTGCAAAGACGCTGGAGCCCATCCCATTAACACAGTGGTTCTCAACCTTTTTAATGCCACGACCCCCCGACCGGTCGTAAGTCGAGGACTACTCAACCAGTCGTAAGTCGAGGACTACTCAACTGGTGCAGCACCGTTTGCAGAATGGGACTTTTGGCAGGCTCAGCAGGGCAGAGACAGCCTGGACAATTCCTATTGGCTTTTGAAAGCCAATAGAATTAGACTCTATTCAAGAGAGTCTATTCTATTGGCTTTCAAAAGCCAATAGAATAAAAGGGAGCAGCACAGCTAAGGAAAAGGGGGGGAAAAATGGCGGACTGCGTTGTTTGGCGACCCCCGTGAAATGGTCGTTCGACCCCAAATGGGGTCCCGACCCACAGGTTGAGAACCGCCGCATTAACACAAAGCACCTTTTTGGCTGGTTGTGTAGCGGCTGTCCGACATCCCTTGTTGCAGAGAACAAGGGCAAGGGGGCAGGTTCCTGTTCCAGGCCGACGGGAATCTCTCGTGACTCAGCCAGTCCAGACACTTCTGCCTGTAATTCACACGGATGCGGCTGTCCAGTTTATATACCCACAAACCACGCACATCTGGAAGGAAACGCAGAGAGAAAGCAGCAATGAGTTAGTATTTATCTCGGCTTAGTTTCGTTCCGCCTTGCCCAGCTTGTTATCTTTCCGATGCATTGGGGTCCCTGGATCCATCCTCCCCAGCCAGTGTACATGCTGATGTGAAGTTCCTGACAGTTACAACAATTAACCAGTGGAACAACCTGCCTCCAGAAGCTGTGAACACTCCAACACTGGAGGCTTTTAAGAAGAGACTGGACAGCCATTTGTCTGAAATGGGATAGGGTTTCCTGCCTGAGCAGGGGGTTGGACTAGATGACCTCCAAGGTCCCTTCCAACTCTGTTATTCTATTCTATTCCTGAAATGGTATAGGGTTTCCTGCCTGAGCAGTGGGTTGGACTAGATGACCTCCAAGGTCCCTTCCGTTATTCTATTCTATTCTATTCTATTCTGTTCTATTCTTATTCTATACCTGAAATGGTATAGGGTTTCCTGCCTGAGCAGTGGGTTGGACTAGATGACCTCCAAGGTCCCTTCCGTTATTCTATTCTATTCTATTCTATTCTATTC